AGAAAATAAAAGAAAAAAATAAAAAATAAATTTTTTTTAATTAAAAAAAAAAGTAAAAATATATCTAGGAATTTCTCTGGAGCTGTTGTGGTCAGTGTGGGTTCGGTTCAGTTTCAGATAGCTCCTTGTTCCAGCTTATAATTCTCGATATCTGTAGGCCCCTTCCGGTGTAGTTGGTGTTATCTACAGGGGTTTTAATCTGTTGCACCAGTCTCTTCTGAAGCGGTTCTCTTTGTTTATTTGGCTTCTGTTTCCCGGTCTTTTCAGTGCCTAATTTCCACCCTGACACAGGCGGGCAGAGGTGGTCTCTTATTCAGGTTGCTAGTTCCGTCGCGCTGCGGGGAGGGACTGGCGCTGCTTTCCCCGTCTTCGCTGCTCAGGCTCCCAGCTGTTCTATCTGGAGCATGCCCTGTGCGCGGTTCCAGCCCTCAGGTGTTCCACAAAAGCGCGGAACAAAAAGCTGTGCCTGCGTTTTGTGCCTGTTTTGTGCCTTCCCCGTCCGAGCGGCTCAGGCAGCCAGGAGCTTGACGGGCACACTCTCCCTGGGTGCGGCGTGCCTTCTCCCCTCCGCGTCCCCAGCCCCAGTCGGGTTCCTGCGCCCTGTGTCTCGCTGCGACCCTCCCTGTGGATGTCGACCATCCAGAATCTCAGGAAGTCTTTGCTTAGAAGCTGGAGGCCTGTTTGCAGTGAGGTAGGGGATGCGGTCCTTGGGGCCTAGCCTGCCCCTTTCACCTCCCCCCTGCTTCCTGCCTCTGGCGGGGCTGGGCCGGTCCGCAGCCTGCGAGCTCTTTTCTGGACTTGCCCAGACCCTTTGTCCTGCGAACGGCCGGTAGTGTGTTCGGGCCGGTTAATTTTCTCTCTCTCTTGCTATCCCACAGTTTAGGTTGGTAACTCACAAAAGCTCCCTCCGATTGTCCTCAGGGCACTCAGGCCCGGTTCTTACCCTAAGCAATGCCGCCCGCTCCTCTCCATTCCACTTCCTCTTGCTGGTGGCGGATGCGGGCGTCTGGGGTACTTTTCTGCTGAGAGTTGCTTTTAGGCATGTAATCTGTGGGTTTTATTTATTCTTCCCCTCCCAGTCAGGTTGCCCTCCGAGATTCAAAAACTTCCCCCAGACCCGCCAGTGCGAGGGTTTCCTGGTGTTTGGAAACTTCCTCTTTTAAGACTCCCTTCCCGGGAAGGATCTCCGTCCTTAGCTCTTTTGTCTCTTTTTTTATCTTTTATATTTTGTCCTACCTCCTTTCAAAGACAATGGGCTGCTTTTCTGGGCGCCTGATGTCCTCAGCTAGCGATCAGAAGTTGTTTTGTAAAGTTTGCTCTGCGTTCAGTTGTTCTTTCGATGACTTTGTAGGGGAGAAAGTGGTCTCCCCATCCTGTTCCTCCGCTATCTTGGCTCCTCCCATGCCTTCTCATTTTATACACAGTAGTTTTTAAGTCTTAATCCCATAACCTTACCTTGCCCCTCCCCTTTCCCTCTCCCCAATGGTAACTACTGCCTTGTTCTCATTATCTCTTTTTGTCCTTTTTATATACATTTGTGTGCTTTAAATTCCACGGTTCCATATACAAGTGATAGCATGAGGTATTTGCCTTTCTGACTTATTTCATTAAGCATTGGAGACGGCAATGGCAACCCACTCCAGTACTCTTGCCCGGAAAATCCCGTGGATGGAGGAGCCTGGTGGGCTGCAGTCCATGGGGTCGCTAAAAGTCTGACACGACTGAGCGACTTCACTTTCACTTTTCACTTTCATGCATTGGAGAAGGAAATGGCAACCCACTCCAGTGTTCTTGCCTGGAGAATCCCAGGGACGGGGGAGCCTGGTGGGCTGCTGTCTGTGGGGTCACATAGAGTCAGACACATCTGAAGTGACTTGGCAGCAGCAGCAGCATTAAGCATAATATTGTCTAGGTTCATTATTGAAAATTACAGAATTTCATTCTTTTTTATGGCCAAATAGTATTACACTGTATGTGACACACACACACACACACACACACACATATGTATGTATACATACATGTAAACACCACATCTCCTTTATCCATTCATTGGGTGATGGTTTTTTTGGTTGTTCCCTTTCTTGGAAGGGATGACAGAGGATGAAGTGGATGGATGGCATCACCAACTCAGTGGACATGAGCTTGATCAAACTCGGGGAGATGGTGAAGGACAGGAAAGCCTGGTGTGCTGCAGCGTCTGGGGTTGCAAAGAGTCAGGCACGACTTAGTGACTGAACTACACCTATCTTGGCTGTCATTTACTGCTTAATTTTGCATTCAGATTTTCTTCACTCTTAGTTTTCTCCCCCTCTGATGTTATTTTTTTTTCCAGATTACTGCTGACTTTATTTTTTTTATATACCACTAAAGCATTTATTTGTTTAATTATTGGAATATACTTGATTTACAGTGTTGTGTTAGTTTGAATCAGTTATACATATACATGTATCCACCCTTTTTTAGATTCTTTTCCCATGTAGGCAATTACAGAGTATTGAGTAAAGTTCCCTGTATTAATAGGAGGTCCTTATTAGTTATCCATTTTATATATAATAGTGTGTATATGTCAGTCCCTATCTTCCAGTTCCACTATTTGTTCAAATATTACGTTCTTTCTTATTTGCTTCTGTGAGTCCGCTATGTATCTTTTTTATAGTATTCCATAAATCCCTTATATACAGTTTTTTATTCATTCTCTTTTTTCTGTTCTTCATATTGGATTATCTCAGTTAACCTATAGTTTCTGTCTTTATTGATAGTCTTCATTTCTTGAGATGTTATTCTGATACTTTATTTTCAATTTTTAGACATTTTTTAAATTTGTTTTTGAACATATTTAAAATAATTGATTTAAACTTTTTGTAATAGTTCAGGATCTTGGCATTCTTAGGGACATTCTCTTGACTTTTTTTCTCTTTTTTTGCCTGTAGGTCACACTTGACGTTTCTCTTTTCATCTTTCATAATTGCTGGATCTTAGTTCCCTGACCAGGACTTAGCAGGGCAATCGCAGTAACCACTGAACCACCAGGGAATTCCCATAATGTAGCAACTCTTGAAATCAGATTCTCTTTCTTCTCCAGGGGTTATTTTATTTATTTATTTTTTCTGTTTATTTAGTGACTTTTTGAAGCTAATTCTGTCAGATTGATATTCTTTGTCATGTGTGACCACTGAGGCCTCTGCTTGTTCAGCTAATAGAGTTTTCCTTAAATGTCTAAACCAGTAAATTTCCCAGCCTATGCCTAGGAGTTGTTTCTGTGCGTTGTGGAGTGGCTTCAAGAGTTTGGGGCCTTCCTAAGTGTTTTCTGGGCATGTCCACAGTCCTCCACGCGTGTATGGCCTTCTAGATTCACAGGAATATGTTAAAACTTTTCAAAGCCCCTTTTAGACACTTGTGTTAGTCAGCTTAGACTGCTACAACAAAATAACAGACTGAGATTTATTGTCACAGCTCTGGAGGCTAGAAGTCTCAGACCAAGGTCTGGCAGGATTCCCTTGCTGTCTTAGACACAGGTTATGTGTATAATTTTGTTATTGTGTCCTTACTTGTGTTGTGTAACAGGCCTCTTGTTATGTGCTTACTTGGCTTTTCCTCGGCCCTTGTGTGTGAGTGTGTGTGGGGAAAGAGTGAGAGAGTGCACACACGTGGAACAGCTTTTTGCGGAAATATGGATAGGTCTCTGTCTCTAAAAAGAGACCAATCTTGTCAGATCAGGGCCCTACCCTTGTGACTGCCCCATGTGAATTTTCAGGGGACACAAACATTCAGTCTTGACAACATCTTTTCCCTGAGCTATTCTTTGTAAGTTTTTTGGCCTGCCTCTTGTTTCCTCTGCCCCTTATCATTGTCTTGGACAGCCTCAGTGTTAAACAATTGCTATTTGTTTTTAATAAGTACCCTTTTCTGAGGCTGTTCACACTGAGTAAGCTTTGAGTCAGGTCAAATAAACCCCTACTAGTGGGGTTTCCAGGAAACTGCCAGATAGGTTAAATAATAACAGTTATTTGATAATGTTGCCCCACAACTGTTCTGTCACCTCCAGTGTCTGTACCTGCTTATTTCAGCCCATGATGGCAGGAGTGATGGCTTTCAGGACTACTGTTGAGAATGGAGGAGAGCAGGATCTAAGTAGGAGGAGCCAGGGTGTCCCGAAGCTCACTGTTCGTAGCAGATTCAGCCAAGTTTTTGGAGTCAGTGCTCCCTGATTATTGTGAGCCTTTGGCCAATTTCTAGAATTCCGAAAGAGTTGATTTTTGCTCATTTTTTGTAATAATTCTCATTGCTTTGGTAGAAGAGAAGAATTTTTGACATAGTCCTTAGTCTGCCATTTACAGTGACTTCACCTCTCATTTAATGTTTTCTCTACTTTAATTTTTTTCTTTTTGACCATTTTTTTCTTCCTATGGTGTTTTCTTTTTTTCTATTTATATTACTATTCTGGCAGTGACTTGGGGGCATTGCTTAAGGTCATAAACAGTACACTGGACCAAGGTTATGTTAAATTAAGGAACTTCTCTATAGTTTAAAAGTACTCTTAGATGACCAGTTTCATTTTAAGTAAGCCTAAGAGCTTTATTCACCTCCGCCGTCCCTTGCTGTGTGTGTGTGTGTGTGTATGTTTTAACATATACCTGTATATTATCTTTGATGATGAGAATTGACTTTCCCCCCTATTAGTTTTTGTAACAATAATAGTTGATTTTAAATAAGGCAGGCATTCTAGCCCTTTAGACTAAAAGAGATCTCCTCAAGTTGCCCATTTTATGGTCCTAATGTAAACCAGGGCATTTCGATGGTTTTTTGTTTTTTTTTTTTTTAACAGTTTTCTACCTATGAGATAGAAATATTTTATCATACTTACAGTTTCAACATTTAGAAACGAATCATCTTACCTCTCTTTTGTAGTGTTTTGTAGTATCTTAATTACTTGGACTTTTTCCCTAGGTATAATGTTTACAAAATAGTATGAGTGACACTTTTTTTTTCTCCCCCAGAATCTCAAAATGTGGATTTTGTTTGTAGTGTTCTTGTGGTGGCTGATCAGCTTCTCATATCTCGACTGAAAGAAATTTGTGAAGTAGCATTAACTGAAAAACGTGAGTAATTTTGAATTAGAATCTTAGTGTTTTCTCAGGTTGATTCAGGATTTATGGTATTTTATTGACTTGATGATGCAGTTTAAGTAAAATGCCTGTTTTTATATCATGAAAAATGTCAAGACAGTTAAAATTATTTCTTGTCATCATTTGTAAGCACATCCTTATTTCAGAGATGTTAATATGTGAATACATGTAAATCTTATAATTGAAATCTTAATTTTTTTTGAAATATCATAAAACTTGAATAATAAAGATGGCATGAAATTATTGTGCAATCTGAAGGATGAGAGTTTGAAAGTGGAAATTCTTTGCACTTGCCCTGGTCTGTAAGTCTACACTTAACTACCCTGTTATTTACTGGAATTTCTTTTTTTTTTTTTTGGAATTTCTTTTTTTTTAAGCCACATTGTACAGCTTATGGGATCTTATTTACCCATCAGGGATGAACTTGTGTCCTTGGCTGTGCAAGTACAGAGTTCAAACCCGTGGACTGCCAGAGAATTATATTTGCTGGAATTTTTATGTAACCATTCCATCAATGTATTTGATCAAAAGTATCTCTTTTTCTGAAGCTCTTACTTCTCTTTCTGCTTATTATTTTCAGTTATTTGCAGGACTGTCATCCTAACACTGAACTTTGAAAGCCAAAGTTATTTTTTTATCATTTTGTGCCTTACATCCAAATTGCAGCTGTCAAAACTGATCAGTCTCTTGATCACATTTCCCCCACCTTTTTTTTTCTGTCACTATGCTAGTTGATCACTGTTACTCGTCCCTTCTGTGTAGTGTCATAGTAGTCTTTTAAGTCCTCTTTCTCTCTTCTGACTTCTCTTTCTTTAATCTTCCTATAGGAAGTGGTTAGTGTGTTCTCCTATTCATATGTTTTTAATTGCTTCCTCTGAGATAATGGTTAAATTTCCTTAGCCTGATAACAAAAGTTTCTTGGCTTTCTAGTCTTATCCTTGTTCTCCTTCTTTGCCTCTTAAGGAAGTGTGAAGAGATTTCCTGTTAGATTTTTCTGATTTGTACTTGCTAATAGTTTATCTTAGCTCAGGTATCTTATTTACTCACTTGAGCTCTGTGGAGTATATTCTTCTTGGTTATCAAAAAGAGAGCAACAGCTATGATCTTAAAACCAGAAAAAAGAAATACAGTTGTCCCTCTGTGTCACAGGGATTGACTCCAGGAGCCTCTGCAGACATCAAAATCTGTGGATGCTCAGGTCCCTCATGTAAAATATTATAGTATTAATACAGTGAATACAGCTGGTCCTCTGTGTGTGGAACTTGCTGGTATGGAGGACCAGCTCTATATTAAAGGACACAACATGCAGTAGATATAAAATATACAAATTGAGGGTATTTTCAGTTGTTCGGTCGACTTTCCTATTATCCTTTGGATATTCTTTCTTGGCTCCTGCTGCACAGTTGCCCCTGTTACAGATGAATTTCTTGATCATCTTAGAATCTAGCAAGAGAAGGATTTAGCAGAACTTTGGTGTCTGTTTATTGGGCAGTCCTTGAAACCAGCTGAACAACTCTTTATAGTTTTTATATGATTCATTTTTATTTCTGTGAAATGGGAGACTTTGGATTCATCATTAGTTGAGACTTTGGGTCAGTCCAGAGTGAGGCAGAGATCATTATTGTCTGCATATAACTTTTGACTGAGTTACAAGAGAGAAAGAGAAAGAAAATGGAGGAAGCCAGGTGTAGAAAATAGTTGTGTTTCTCTGTTGGCTGGGGCTCAGAGTAAAGAAGGAAAGGGGATTTCAGAAGCCAAGTTACATGTTACGTAAGCAGAATATTCTTGGACACTCTCCAGTAAAACACACTTCATATATACAGTTACAAGGATTATAACAAAATCTAGCATCTTTTGTGCAGTATGCCAGATTGTGCACTGGCGTGAATGATAATATAGTAATATTTAAATGTACTTATTTTCTGAATATATAGTTTGTGTTTATATATATAAATATATTCACATAAAGTCTGATAGTTGATTTAACATAAATATATTTTATAGAATGATTTCTTCCCTTTCTCTTAGTCATAAATATATCTTTTTAGTTTTATAGAAGAGGAAATAACTATTCTGTGATATGTAAATGAAAAGGAGTGTTGTTTATCAGTGAAAGTTAAAAATACTCCAAAAAGTTTAGATGAAGATTGTCAGTTCTTACGTGTTTACTTTTAGATGACACTGTAATGCACCTTTTCTTTTTTTTGCTTAAAATTTTGTGTGTGTTTATTTTTCCTCATAATGAATCATTTAAAATTACTTTGGCTTATCGGGTTGAAAAATAGATTCTATATTTGCCCTAGTATAACTTTTTTTTGGCAGGACAGTACTTTCAGTTTTCCTTCTTCTAAATGTTCAAACCTGACATGTTAAGAAATAATTGTATGTTTCATTTGCTGTAGTTAAAATGTCTTTCATCTTGTTTTATAGATCTTTTCTTCCTTTGTAGTTACCCTTAAGAATGCTGCTATGCTGCTGGAATTTGCAGCAATGTATAATGCTGAACAGTTGAAACTCTCTTGTTTACAGTTTATTGGACTGAATATGGCAGCTTTACTTGAAGCAAGGTAGGTTGAGTATTATATACAGACTGTTGCAAAAGCACTTATTTATATATAATAGCAAATATGTTAGTAATTTGAAAGTGAGTAACAATAAATCCTAACTTCGTAGAAAAAGTGAAAATGTAAGACATTTAATCATTTCATCAGTATTTGGATGCTTAACATATGCCAGCCATTGCTATAATACTACAGTGAACAAATGGACGATATCCTTGCCCTCAGTGTTATAGAAGCTTACATTCTGATTGGAAGGTTGTGGGACAATATTATCACAAATATATTTGTATATATATTCATATCTTTCTGCTTGTTTAGGCTAATTTGTAACTATGTAGTTGTTACCTGGCTTTTGGAAACTATCTGTAATACTAATTAAGCCAGCACTTAATTGCGTCAGATATATTTATGCATATAATTTGTTATTGGTTGATTTCTATTTTCTCTTTGTATTTATTCTCTTTTAAGATGTTCCCTATACTACGTATTGATTCTTTGGTCAAACTTAGTGTGCAGCAGATGGCCTGAAAAATTTAGTTGGTCTGGTTTATTAAAAGCTGGTACATGTGTGCAAGCTTTGATGGTAATGGAATATTCATTATGAAAAATGACACATGTTACAAGTTAAACATTATATCCTATGTTATAAGCTAATATTTCACGTTATATTGTTGTTTACCTGGATGAAAGGAATTTGATAAATGCTAGTGATTTAGGAGTCATAGACATGTTAGAATTAGAAGAATCTTAGGAAATTTAATCCCATTCTTTTCAACTATTTTAGCAGTGGAATTTTTTAATGAAATAAATTTACAGATTCATTTTTTAGTGTAAGGTCAAGATGTTACTACATTTATTCACTATAAAGTCAGTGATAAGAACATGAGTCTTTTTGGTGAATACAGAAATTTCAGATTAGAGTTTTTGGTGTCAGTATCCAGTATAATTCTGTATTTTGTTTTAATTGTAATAATAGGTAACACTTATTGCCATAAAAGTAGTTATTAATAATAACTAATAGTAGTAATATAATAATAGTTACATAATAATAGTGATAATAATAATACTACCATGTGCCAGGCAGCATTCTAGAGGTGTTGTATGGATTCTCATAATTTTTATGAAAACCTTATAAAGTAGATTTTTTATATCCTCATATGAGGATGAGAAAAAACCCATGAAACTTTTTTTTGCAAATAATCAAGAAAAACCTTGATTCATATAATTAGAAGTGGTAACAGTTGTTTGATAACTCACTTTTCAAAGTCAGGATGATTTTTAATAAAACTAATTTCAAAACATGTTTGAAATAAAAGTTTTCTACTTTTTTATAAAGGTGAATCACTAAGAGATTCTTAATAATTGACATTTAGGGTCTATTTAGAAGAAATTCTTATGGTTGTTTAATCTTTGTTACTTGGTGCAAAATGCTTTCTAAATACAAATTAATAGTATGGGATGTTAGACAATGTCATTTAAAATGCCTCTGGTATTTTAGTGTCAGAACAAAGGTTTCAAACAAATTCATTTATTTTTGCTGACATTATTAATTCTAATCATAGAAATTTTTTTTCATTATTGCCAAATTAAGCTCATTTAATATGTCAGATAAGAATCAACCACAGTGTGAAATGAACACCATATCTAAAATATGAAAAAAAAATATGTGGAAAATGATGTGTCACACTACTGTTTTTCAATTATTATGTTGTGACAAATTTGTCAGCTGAAGTATTAAGGGTGGCACATGTGCTGTGTTGAATAATTTTACATAAGTAGACTTGCATAAGTTTCATTAAAATAAAGATTTGTTTGTATAAATGTAAACATTTCTAGTCAAATATGTGTTTTTCAGAAGTGTAAATAAATATGCAAATAGATGTTAAGAAAGGGGAGCTGCATGTAAATTGATGTAGCATTACAAGTTAATTATCTTTAAATGCTAAAAAAACTGGTATGGTACAGATTTGAATATGCTTGTTGCATATTGTTGTTTAGTTGCTAAGTCATGTCTGACTCTTTGCGATCCCGTGGACTGTAGCCCACCAGGCTCCTCTGTCCATGGGATTCTCTAGTTAGGAATACTGGAGTGGGTTGCCATTTCCTTCTCCATGTTTCATTTTTAGTTGTAAAAATGTTTGAAGTATACTTTAGAATGAAAACTGATTTAAATTTTTACTGATGCCTCAAAGTATCAGTAAAATTCCTTGAAATCTCTTTGAATTCAGTTGAACTAGTCCAAATGTCATTTTATATATGAAGATCTTAAAACCTAGAGAGATGAAGTGAGTTGCTCAAGATAAGGTAGATGATTAGAAACAGTGATAATTCAGATAGAATTCAGGTACCTGATAGGCCATTGTTCTATCAATATAATACTCTTTTGTAGGATTATAATTAATTATATATTACATATAATTATATATTATAATTATATTATTACTCTTTAAGGATTTTAATTTGTGGAAATGAAAGTTGAAAATTTATACTTTATTATGATAGAAAATATTTTTCTATTATTTGTAAGAGTTGCTTGAGTTTTATTCAGTATGTTTGTCTGTTTGCTGTATATTTGAAATATATAATCACACATACTTCCAAAAATAATTTGTTGCTGCTGACATAGTAAAAAAAAATGTTACCTATTCAACTATATAAAATGTCTCTATATATTTGAAAATCTTACCAGGTATTAAATTACTTGAGTCTTAAGATAGAATTTTATAATTTATTTTTTAGATCTCTTGATGTTTTAAGTGATGGTGTTTTGAAGGACCTTTCTGTGTTTTACCGGAAAATGGTAAGGTTTATTTTTTTTCAGTTACAGTATCAAGTAAAGCAGTATATTTGGCCCAACTTCTCAGTAGAACAAATTCCTAATGAATTCTGATTCATTAGGATCTTTTAAAAATGAGGTCATGAGACTTAGGTACCCACTGTACAGGTAAACCTGATAATCAAAATTAAAGATGTTCAATGATAAAAGTAATATCTATTTAAATTCCTTTATAAATGGAATTTATGGAAAGCTTCAGGGTCTTGTTATTTTTTGTTTGTTTTTTTGTTATTTTTTATTTAGCAAAGATCTGAAAATTATAAAAACATGGGCTTTTAATGGTTTTATTTATTTTTATTGAGGTGATGTTGATTTATAATACTGTATAAGTTTCATGGGTACAGCATTATATTTCTGTTTCCGTATACCCTGCAGGTTGCTTCCAACCAAAAATTTAACTTCTGTCTGTCAGCATATGGTTGATCCCTTTTACCTGTTTCACCACCTGCTTTTCCCTTTCATAACCACACTCTGTTCTCTGTACAAAGGGAATTTTGGGGTTTAGTTTATTCATTTATTTTGTTTTTATTTATTAGTGTTTTATATTCCATCTATGAGTGAAATCATGCAATATTTGTCTATCTCCATCTGACTTATTTCACTTAGCATAATACCCTCATGGTCTATGTTGTTGCAAATGGCAAAATAACATCTTTTTTCATGGTTGAGTAGTATCCCATTTTATGTATATGTATGTGTGTGTGTGTGTATTTATATATGCAAATGCATATAACACAGGTTCTTTATCTATTCATCCCTTGATGGGCACATACAGTGCTTCCATATCTTGGCTATTGTAAATAATGTTGCAGTGAACAAAGGGGAGTATGTATCTTTACAAATAAGTGTTTTTGTATTCTTTGGATGAATACCCAGAAGTGCAATACCTGGCTGTAATATGGTAGTCTGTTCTTAATTTTTTTAGGAATCTCCATTCTGTCTTCTCTAGTGACTATACCAATTTAAAATCTCACTAACAGTGTATGAGAGTTCCCTTTCCTCCACGTCCTTGCCAACACAGGATATTGTGTTGTCATTTTGACCCTAGCTTTCTGATAGGTGTACGGTGATATCTCATTGTGGTCTTGATTTGCATTTTCCTAATAATTAGTGATGCTGAACATCTTTCCATATGCTTATTGGCCATCTATATGTCTTCTTTGGAAAAATATGTATTCAACTCCTGTCCATTTTTTGATCAGACAGTTTTTTGTTGTTAAATATATCATTGAGTTCATATATATAAGTTGTTTTTTGATATATCATTTGCAAATCTCTCTTCCCATTTGATGATTTCTTTTGCTCTGTAGAAACTAGTTTGATGTAATCCAATTTATGTTTGTTTTTGTTTTCCTTGACTGAGAAAATAAAAAGATACTGCAAGACTCATATCAAAGTGCATGCCACCTATGTTTTCTTTTTTAGGAGTGTTACGGTTTCAGGTCTTACACTAAAGCCTTTAATCCGCTGTGAATTAATTTTTGTCTGTGGTGTGATAGTGGTCTAGTTTAATTTGTTTTGCATGTGGCTGTCCAGTTTTCCTAGCACTATTTATTGGAGATTGTCCTTTCTCCATTGTATATTCGCTCCTTTGTTGTAAATTAATTGTCCATATATGCAAGTGTTTATTTCTGAGCTTTAATTCTGTTTGGAGATCTTTGTATTTATTTTTCTGCCAATACCATGCTGTTTTGATTACTATGGTTTTGTAATATAGTTTGAAATCAGGGTGTGTGATACCTCCAGCTTTGTTCTTTTTAATCAGTGTTGCTTTGACTATTCAGCATCTGTTTTGGTTCCATGTAAATTTTAGAATTTTCTGTGAAAAATGTTCTTGGGATTTTGATAGGGATTTTATTGAGTTGGACTGTAATATGGTAATTTTTCCGTTCCATGAGACTGGAATATCTTTCCGTTTATTTGTATTTTCTTGAATTTCTTCTGACAGTGTCTTAGAGTTTTCAATGTTTCAATGTTTTCAATCTTTCACCTTCCTGTTTAAGTCTTTTCTTAGGTGTTGTATTTTGTTGTGATTGTAAATGTGATTGTTTTCTTAATTTCTCTTTTTGATAGCTTATTCTTAGTGTATAGAAATGCAACAGGGTTTTGTATGTTGATTTTGTATCCTTTGCTTTGCTGTATTCATTTGTTATTTCTAACAGGTTTTTGGTGGAATGTGTAGTGTATCTATGTATGTGTAAAATCATGTTATCTGCAAATAGTGACAGTTTTACTTCTTTCTTTCCAATTTGGATGTCTTTTATTTTTTATTGCCTAATTGCTTTGGCTAGCACTTCTAATACTGTGTTGAATAAGAGTGGTGAGTCAGCATCCTTGTCTTATTCCTGATGTTAGAGGATAGCTTTTAATACTTGGCCATTGGGTATGTTAGTTGTGGATTTTTTGTATATTATAACCACTTTATTGAGAATTTTTATCCTAAATGGGTGTTGAATTTTGTCACATGCTTTTTCTGCATCTATTGAGAAGATCTCATGATTTTTATGCTTTATTTTGTTAATGTGGTATATCACATTGATTGATTTGAGGATGTTAACCATTCTTACATCCCTGGTATAAATCCCATTTGATCATGCTGTATAATTCTTTTTATGTATTATTCAATTCAGGTTGCTAATATTTTTTGAGGATTTTTGTATCTGTTCAGTAGAGATATGGCCATGTGATTTTCTTTCTCTGTGTTGTCTTTGTCTGGTTTTGGTATCAGGGTGATACTGGCTTTATAAAAGGAGTTAGCAAGCATTCCCTCCTTTTCAGTTCATTGAAAGAGTTTTAAGATAGGTATTAAATCTTTGAATATTTTGTAGAATTCACCTGTGAAGCAGTCTGGTCCTGGATCTATGTTTTTTAGGTGCTTTTTGATTACTGTCTCAATCTCTGTATTCATGATTCACTTATTCAGATTTTCTGTCTCTTCATGATTCAGTCTTGGAATGTTTTATTATTCTAAGAATTTGTCCATTTCTTCTTGGTTTTCTAATTTTTGTATTCTCTTATATTCTTTTACATTTCTTGGTATCATTTTTTTCTTTCATTTTTTATTATATTTATCAGGCCTTCTCTTTTTTCTTTGTCTAGCTAATGATTTGTCAATTTTATTATCTTTTCAAAGAATCAACTCTTACTTTATCTTTTCTACTGTCCTCTCTTCCTGTTTCCTTCCTTCTGCTAGGTCTTTATTTCCTTGGGTCTTCATTTGTTCTTTTTCTAGTACCTCTAGGTATAAGTTTTTCTTGTTTTTTGAGGTAAGCCTTTATCACTACAAACCCTTCGTACTGCTTTTGCTATTTTCCATAGATTTTGGTATACCATATTTTCATTTGTCCTCTGGTAGGATTTTGTTTCTCCTTTGATTTCTTCAGTAACCCAGTTGTTCCATAGCATGTTGTTTTTTACATATTTGTAATTTTTCTATCGTTTTTGTTCTTAATTTCTATTTTCTTATACCATTGTAATCAGAAAAGATATTTGATAGGATTTTGGGTTTCTTAAATCTGTTGAGACTTTTTTGTGTCCCAACATACAGCTTATCCTTGAGAGTGTTTCATGAGCATTTGAAAAGAATGTATATTCTTCATTTGGATGGAATGTTCTGTTCAAATTTGATCTGTCAAATATATCCGGTCTGATGTTTCAGTTAAGGCCACTGTTCCCTTGTAGACTTTCCTTCTAGATTGATCTATCTGTTGATGTATATGTGAAAATCGCTTAGATGTGTCTGGCTCTTTGTGACCCCATGGACTATACAGTCTATGGAATTCTCCAGACCAGAATACCGGAGTGGGTAGCCTTGCCCTTCTCAAGGGGATCTTCCAGGGAGACCAGGGATTGAACCTAGGTCTCCCACATTGCAGGCGGATTCTTTACCAGCTGAGCCACAGGGAAGCCCATCTCTTGATGTAAGTGGGTGGTAAATACTCCCTACAATTATTTTGTCACTGTCATTTCTCTCCCTTTGGGCTGGTTAATAGTTGTTTTATATATTTTATAGTTCTTAGGTTAGGTACACATACATTAGTAACTTCAATGTCTTCTTGATGAGTTGTCCTCTTTATAACTGTATGCTGACCATTTTTTGTCTCTTACATTTTTCGGCTTGAAGTCTGTTTGTCTGATGTGAGGATGGCTATACCTGCTTCTTTTTTGCTGCCATTTGCTTGGAGTATAGTAGCCCATCTCTTCACTCTGAGCTTCTGTTTCTCCTCACAGCTGAGGTGTGTCTGCAGGAGGTAGCACAGAGCTAGTCTTGTTTTTTGGTGCTTTCACCCAGTCTCTGTCTTCTGATTGATGAATTCAGTCCGTTGCATTTAGGGTGATTATTGATAGATGAGAACTTGGTCCTGACATTTTATGTTTTGTTTTTTGTTGCTTGACATCTCCGTTGTTTCTTTTTCCTTGTGTTTTTGTCATTTTGATGTGGAGGTTTCTTTGGTCTTTTTCTCAGTGTTTTCTTTTTTTATGTTTCAAATCTCTGCTTTGTAGGATAAAGTTTTGTGGTTGTCCTGAGCTTTGTAAACAAAAACAGCTCATAGAAAAAAATCTTTTTTCCCCTGGTTACCTTCCTTTACCTGTTCAGTTTTTCTTATCCCCTTTTATGTTTTTGTTTTCCCAAATTATCCCTTTTTATGTTGTGAGTTTGCTACCAAACAGGAGTGGCTTATAGTTCTTCTTCTTTTTTTCTCTGTTTAACCTTTATGCTCTACAGTTTCTTGGTTCTATTTATCATTTTGCTCAAAGTTTTATTTACTTTTTTCTCTATTAAAGTACTGCTTTCAACATGTCTTGTTACACAGGTCTAATGTTGATGAACTCCCTCAGCTTGTTTGTTGGAGAAAGCCTTTATCTGTCATATTTAAATGATATCTTTCCCAGATAGACTATTTGTGGCTCACAGTTTTTAATCTTTTAATATGCTGAGACTGTCATTTCACTCCCTCCTGACCTGTAGAGTTTCTGCTGAGACATCTGTTGATAGCCTAGTGGAGGTTTCTTTATAGGCCACTGTCTTTTTACACTGCCTGCCTTTAAAAATCTTTGCTATTGACTCTTAGCAATCTTATTATTTATTACTTGTCTTGGAGAAGGTCATTTTGTATGAGGTAATTTCATGTACTTGTATATCCAGTTCCTTCCCCAGATTTGGGACTTTCTCAGCTGTTATTTCTTTAAATAAACACTCTGCTGACTTCTCCCTCTCTTCTCCTTTTGGGTTACTGATTACCTTAGTGTCGTCCTTCCTAAAAGAGATAGGTCTTGAGGAATTTCCTCATTTTTTAATATTTTGTTCCTTCTTTTTCTTATACTTGTATCATTTCAAGATTTCTATCTTTGAGCTTGCTAATTCTTCCATATATTAACTCTATTTCTATTTCTTTCTAATGCATTCTTTATGTCATTTGTTAGATTCCTCAGTTCCAGCGTTTGTTTGGTTCTTTTTTTTAGAGTTTCTATCTCTTTGGTAAAGGATTTCTTCTGTTCATTAATTTTATTCCTGAGCTCATTAAACCACCTTTCTGACTTTTCTTGTAGCTCCTTGAGTTAACAGCTATTTTGAATTATATTTCAGTTATATTGAAACACTCTGTGATTCAGTTTGGTTTCTGGAGAATTATTTTCTCTTTTGTGATACAGTGTTACTGTGGTTGTACACGGTGCTTGATGAGTTATTCCTCTGCAGGTGCATTTGAGGTTGGTGATAGGTTGGAAGTTGGAGTCCTTACTCTTGTTTCCCAGTAGGTGGCGTTCTAACACAAGGTTTTGGTTTCTTCCCTGGTTGCGTCCGATTGTATTTTCTAGTTGGCACTTTTCCGGCTTCCACTGGCTCAGTGAGAAGTGTGTCAGTGCCTTGCCTGTTCCTTCTGTGCCTCCCTGATCCTTACTGCCTTTCTTCTGCCAGAGCTGCAGTCATCATTGGGATGTGGGGCCCTTCCCCAGCGTCTGGGATTCTTTGAGTGACGGTCTCCTCTGCATGGGGGGAGGAGGAGCATGAGAGTGCTGGAGCAGTTTCACAGGTGTCTCTACTGTGTCTGGTGTTGTGTAAGGTTTCTGGGCTCCGCCACTGTGGGAGGTGGGGGTAGAGGGCTGGGTTCCAGGGCCCACTGCCACTGCTACCCAGTGACCTGGGGTTGTGAGCACCACCACTCCTTTCAGGAGGCTAGAGACGTGTGTACCGCCTTGCCTGCTGCTTCTCGGTTCTCTGAAGCTGTGGACTCAGCTGCCATGATGAGAGGCCCAGGATTGCAGGCACAGACTCCACTCTTGGTGGTTCTGCCTCCTTCCTCTGTGTGTTCCAGCCTGCACCTTTAGACGTGCAGATGTGTGGAAATCTCTGGTGTCCTAGTGTTGGACAGAAGCACCTTCTTGAGCTCTGGCTGTTTTACTGGTTGTAGATTGAAGGGGCAAGAGAAAGGTAGGTGATGTAATTCCTCTACACATTTAGTAGAATTTATAAGAAAAAGTAACATCTTTTTTCTTACAGATTCCAGCAATGGAGAGAAGAGTCATTACACCATATCAAGATGGACCAGATATTAGCTATTTGGATGTAGAAGATGGAGATATCTTTTTGAAAGAAGAAGTAAATATGGAACAGAATTACTCGTAAGCTTTAGATTTGTTTTTTTTTTTTTTTTCCCGTTTCTTTTCTCCTTCCCCCATTCCCAATCTTGGACACTGTTGGCACGTTTGTACTGCCACTGAAAGAAAATGTGAAAACGTAGAAAATAGGTATTTATGTTCATTCTTAGTCTTGATATGACTGCATAATTAATATTTGTATATATAACAAAATTAAGCATAAGCATAAAAGGAATATAGCCTTCCGGTTTAATATGTTGGGTTGAATAAGTACACTTATCTTAGTACCTTTCCAAACCCCGCAGAGAGCATAGTAAAGAAATGAAAAAGGCATGTTGTGTTAGAGTAGAGGGAACAGGAAAGGACTGAATGTCAGTCAGAAGATGTTAATGTTTTGGAAGTTAGAAAGTGGTTGTTGAGCAATAGTGACTTAGAACAGAAAAGACAAAACAGAATTCTTGACAGGCTTAAGAATTAGAGGTACTAGGTTTATGAAGACTAGTGTACCTGGTTGGATTTCAGAAAGAGCATTGTTTGAGAATTTTTCTAAAAGCATTGATCTATTCCTGAACCAAATAAGTGCCTCACCTCCATCTTGATAGAAGAGAAAAGGTTTGCCTTCTGGGGAGGGTGAACCAAGGGGATTCATCAGCCATTCCTCTGGATCCCCCAGTATAGAGAACCCTACTAGTTCAAGAGATACAACCTGTAAAGCCTGGCATTTGGGAGTCCTCTGATAAAATATCCCAGGTTCTACATAATCTTCCTGTTGACTGTTTGACAAGTCAGGTTTAGAATTTCCAGCCTGTGTTTTAGGCTAGTTTACCAGCTGGTTATAGAATTACTTTCCCTTTACTTGGTAAATGACCTGTTAAAATTTTGGGATGTTCAAGTAATTTACTACATATGAGTGTATATATATGTAAGTGTATAATAATCAATTATGTTGCTCTCTGAAAAGTTCCTCTTGGTTCCAGGAATTTTTTTTAACCTCTTTTCTGGAGTTTGATGGTACCTGTCGGGCTACTTGATGTTTATAAATGTCTGACTTGGATGTATGATGTGTTACCACATTAAAAGTGATCATAAAATTAACACTGACTTAAGTATATTATACTTTACAAAATAATAGTATTCATAGCTGACCTGTGTTAACTGGGGATAAATTATATAATGAGATTTATTATTTTTAGATGAGATAAGATACTTGTAGTCCTCATAGATAGTGTTATTTTCCCTTTCCTGGTTAATAATGCTTACAGCATCCCATGAAATGCTTTAAAAATTATCACCAAATATTTCTAGTTCCAGATCATAGATTATAATAGTTTGTATGTGAACATGTACAGTATTTTACTTCTCAAAGTATTTTCATATATACCACCTTGTTTCTGACTTTCACAGAAATACTAGTTACAATGTGATAGTATCGCATTGAAGTTTAGTGGAACTCTGGGCCACGTAGATAAAGGGGACTCTAGAGCATGTGTATTCTTCTGTGTTTTCTGTTTGATCAAAATGCTGTATTCCATTGCTCAAAATTTCATTGTTCTGTTTTACCTCTAACTTAACTTTTTAAAAATGACTTATATGTTTGCTTTTTTTCTAGGGAAAGTATGTTCAAGAAGACAAAAACAAAAGCGAAAAAGAAGCCACGTAAACGGTCAGATAGTTCTGGAGGTTATAATCTTTCAGATATTATTCAGAGTCCGCCATCTGCAGGTTAGTGGAACCTATTTGAGGGTGTATTTTCTGATGTAATCTTTCACGACTCTATTCCTTATCTAATTCATTTAACATGTGTTGCATACCAATACATGCCATTTGCTGGGTCTACAGAAACAGATAATCCTTGTCTTAGGGAGGCCACAGAAAATGGTGTGTGTTGTGGTTAAGTACTCTGATACCTGCTCTGTGAGAACAAGAGAGGCACCCAAAGCAGCCTGAGAAGGTTTGTTAGAGGACACGTCTGTTAGAGGACAGCGATAGCTGAGCTGGCTCTTGCAGAGTAAAGAGGTTAGTTAAGAAGAGGAGGCAGGTTGACGTGGTAAGAGAACAGGGCAGTGTTTCAAGCCTAGAGACAGTAGAAAGATTGCACATATCTTATGCACACAGTTCCCCTTAGCTCAGCCATATCAGATCTCTGCAGATAGGAGATGGGTGGGAGAGGGTCAGACTTTGGAAGACATTAATTCATAATACTGTCTAGTGTTACAGTCTACACTCAAATTTCCCTACTTGTCCAAAAATGTTTTTATAGCCTTTTTTGTTTTAATGTAAAAGAAAATCTGATGTCTTACTAAGATTGACATTGCCTTTGCTTATTGTTTTTTTTAGTGTTTTTACACTAGAGTAGCACCCCCTCACAACGTTTTGTTCTGTTTTCAGAAGTTAAGGCCAGTGGTGGTATAGACTACCCTATATTGTAGATTCATCTGATTAGATCTAAATTAAACTACCTAAATTTTAAGTTTCTTTAGATAAAAATTTGAAGTGTAAACAAATAATGACACTGCAATATGGCTTCAAGGAATAGTAGGTGTATCTATAGCAGTAAGACAAACTGGTGCAATTTCTATCCACAGTATTTTCTTTCATAGTCAATCAGTTTTATACAAACAGCTTAAGTACAAATGAGGTATTTGACATGCTTGATAAATAATGTGAAGAATAATTGCTTTAGGTAATATAAAATATATTTTAAAAGATAGCTAATATAAAGGTCTTTCTCATTTACTACATATCTTGATTCCTATTTTAGGACCTTTTCAAGTTTAAAATTCTGTGATTTTTCATTCTCTGTGTTACATGAATTACCTCACATCCTTAGAAGGAAGCATAGGTACATTGATGGGAAGGTATTTAAATGGATAGATAATCATGGAACTAGTGATTTTCCAAATACCTAAAAGGTTTATGGAAAAAGCAGACATTTGGTTTGTTTTAAATGATATTATTGTTAGCACATGTGTTACAGTCATAGCATTTGAGAGTTGGAAGAGACATTAGTAGTGAACTAATTTATGCCCCTTCCTTTAAACTTGAAGCAAGGTCAGAAAACTGTAACGTGATTTCAGGTAGTAATAGACAGAAGTAGAATTTATTTTCTTGATTTCCCTTTGGTATTCTTCCTGCTATACTACTCTTTCTGTGGCCAAAGCAAATTATGATTGAAAGGTTAAATTTAATAGGGGCCAAAAAAAAAGACCTATTCTTGAAGAAATTTTGAGTATGAGGCTAATTTCATCAAGGATGGTTGTGTGACAGCTTAATTTTTGTGTTGATCCTTAAAGTTAGAAGACATTATTTATTAGATTAATTTATAATTAACCTTTGGAAACATTCCACTAATAAATATACTCTTTTTTATAAAAAAGAGTAGCATTTACTTATTTTTGTCTTCCTTTTTTATCTTTATGGGGGAAAATATTCTGAGTCACTTCTTACATTAGATACCAAATAACAATCTTCCTCATAGTTGATATGTAATTGAAATGAATGAAACTTGTTTTAAAACCTCCATTTCAATTTTCTTACTTCATTAAATTATTTGGTTCTTTAAATGTAATTCATATATGTTTAATGTATATGTGTTTAAATGTTTGAAAACTTTTTACCTTTTAGGATTGTTAAAGTCTGGTAAGACCAATTCTGTGGAGTCTCTTCCAGAACTATTGACATCAGACTCTGAAGGAAGCTATGCAGGAGTGGGTAGTCCTAGAGATTTACAGTCTCCTGACTTTACAACAGGATTTCATTCAGATAAGTCTGAGGTCTGTCTTTGTTTTTTAATGCACTATTTTCTTCAAATTCTAGTCTAGAGACGGTTTAGTTCTTTTCATTGTTTTTACTCTAAAGTGAAAGTCGCTCAGTTGTGTCTGACTCTGCGACCCCATGGACTATACAGTGGAATTCTGCAGGCCAGAATACTGGAGTGGGTAACTTTTCCCTTCTCCAGTGGATCTTCCTGACCTGGAATTGAACTGGAGTCTCCTGCATTGCCAGCAGATTCTTTACCAGCTGAGCTACTAAGAACCCAGCATTTTTTTACTGGGCTTTTTTACAAGTGTTTTACTCTAAAACACTCCTCTAACTGGTTTATAAAAAATATATATATATAAAACTAGTGACATAATACATGTCATGTAGTATTAATTTTCTCATATTTGCCTAATGTTTCTACTCTTAAAGATTTTATTGGCACTGTTGAGCTGTTTATGATGTTATATTTCTAATCTTTCTACATTAAATATAATATTGATGTAAAGTATAGCAATACTGTATAGGCAGTTGAAATATATGTGTATGTGTAGTTGCTCAGTTGTGTCTGACTCTTTGCAACCCCATAGACTGTAGCCCACCAGACTCCTTTGTTAGGAATTTTCCAGGCAAGAATACTGGAGTGGGTTGCCATTTCCTACTCCAGAGATCTTCCTGAAGCAGGAATGGAACCCATGTCTCTTGTGTCTCCTGCATTGGCAGGCAGATTCCTTAACAGTGGCACCACCCGTATATTCATGGCTGGATTACTTGAAATTTATTTTTTGGAATGTCAGTTAACACCAGCCAAAAACTAAGGAAAATGATTTTGAAAACGAGCGGAATTGCAAAATCTGTTTAATATCTTTCCTCCATGGTATTAATTACAACAATGCAATCTGAAATGGAGTCTCCTAGTCTAGCATAATTGACACCAAGCTGCTGAATTCCTAGTCTGGTGAACTCTGGGGAGGCCATATTTTAGACATCTCAACATTTTATTCCATAGTTGTTAATATACAGGGAATGAAAACATCTAACTTACCAGATATAATCTTTTTCTAACCTCTCTGCATTCACAAAACATATCAGAATATCTAGAAATTTGTGAGACCTCAGAAAATGAACCCTTTATTAAGAGTCTCAGGACTCAAGGACTGATACAAAACAAAATTTTATTAAAATTTTTTATGTAGAGTAGAAGTTTGGGGACAATTCATATTACACTAAGGTTGGCCTGGAAGACATTTGAGGTTTAAAGAAAGGTTGAAGTGCCTTTCTAGCAGTAGTAGAAGAATCTATCCTTGCAGTGGAAATAACTATTTCAGTAATTTCCTTGACCTTTTTTAATAGCAACAGTTTTAGCATCCCTTTTGAAGTGACAATATTATTTGGCTTTCATTTTATTCAGAGTCCTTTAAGTATATTCAGAGTGAATTGTGTGACATTTAAAAGTGCTAGATGATTATTGTCATAAAATTTTATTCTTTAATATAGTTTAACCAGTATCTGCTGAGTACCAATTGTGTGTAAACTGCTGTGCTAGGGGTGCCTAATACTACTCAATTAAAAAAAATCTTTTTTTTTTTTTTTACCTCCAGGGGAAAATTAAATCATATGTTAATGGTACACCTCCTACATATTTTAGAGAAGATTTAAAACCATGGGAAAAATCACCAGTACTTAAAATAACTGCTCCACAGCCCATTCCCAGTAACAGAATTGATACTACAAGCTCTTCCAGTTGGGTTTCTGGCTCTTTCAGGTAGGATTTTTATTTTGTTCTGTACTATACTTGTTAGTTGGCAAAAATATCATTCATTCTTAGTCAAATGAAAATTTTTAATGGAGCACATTTAAAAACATTAATACAAATTTCTAATGTAGAGGAAATGATCTAACTGCATATAAATTATCAGCTAAAGTGCATACAAATTACTAACCAGCTAAAATAGGCTCTTTTTTCCAGACAAAATATAGTTGCCTTTGTAGTGTCATTAGTGAATACTAGTAAATCCTCTGTAACAAACACATACATGCACTCAGTGACTTGATATCACCATTTTTTTTTTAACAAATAGTGTATATTAGTGAAAATACCCACTCAGGAAGACCATTTCGTCTCTTATAGGCTTACTTTATCTTTTCTTTAGCACATTAAAGGGTATTTAAGAGCTCATAAAATGTGTTGTTGTTCACAGTTATTGTCAGAAGATATTCATTTAGTTATACTATTATACTGTAGTTTTACCTTACCTATATATTCTGTCCATGATTTTATTTTATTTAGAAAATCCAGTTTTTAAAACAAGGAATAAATATAATTAAAATACAGTATTCTTTCAAAATGCTTATTGAGGTTGTTCTTCATCTTTTATTACCTAGTATGGTTTATTATAGGCTAAAACTGTTAATTGCCTTACTAGTTATCACTTGGACCATTTGTGTAAATATTTTGAAATATGCTCTATTGCACAATTGGAATAAAGATTATGATGTCCTGGTTTATGATGGTTCATGATCTAAAGATAGTCAGAAAGTAGTTTCAAAATTTTTTGCCTAAGTAAACATACTTGTGGGAACACTTGGAAGCATCTTCTAATCATTAATGTTAGACTGCTTTATTAAACATATATCACTTAACATTTGACTTTAAATACATTTTAATTATGTATGTATATATAAAAGAAGCTTTCATTTATCCTTTTTGAAGTTGACCACAGCTGACAAAATGGACCTAAATTGTCCTCTCATTAATGATGTTATATATAACTTACAGTTTCAGTAATATTTGGGTATAAAGTAATGAATGGGTTGTAAAGTAGCTTTTATATGTCTTTTAGTCCTGTCAGCCCTCCTGTCGTGGATCTCAGAACCATCATGCAAATTGAAGAAAGTAGACAAAAATGTGGAACTACACCAAAGACAAATTTGGGGTTGGTTACAAAATCATAGAAAGGAAAGAACATGTTGTATTATAGTTTTGCCCTAAGGAATTAGAAAGACCTACTGGACCTTTCCTATTATTTTTCTGCATTTGATGTTAAAGTTAGTTCTAAGTTCTTTTCTATTAATAGGTAATTTAGCCTCCATAACATTATTTCTTAAGTACGTGCTAAAGATTGAGTTGGGTTGATAGTCCAGCTCTTGTGGAATATAATATTATATACCAGAAATTGGCCTCTAAAATAATCCGTATAGGCTATTTCTGATACAAGTGTGATGCACTCTATTATAAAGGCTCATTGTAGCTATTACTTTATCCTTGGTAGTATAAACTGATTATATATATATATATGGTCACTGTTGAAACTTGTGGTCATTTTGATTTAGTAATAGTAAAATTTCATCAAATAAACACAAAGCAATATAATTACCTGTAATCTTAAGCAGAAATTTCTAGCAAAATTATTTCTTATGGAATTAAACTTTCTCAGAAGCAGTAAAACTGATTGGTTTAATTTAATTTCTAGAAAAATGATTTCTCATGGAGTTAAACTTTCTCAGAAGCAACGAAAAATGATTGCAATGACTACCAAAGATAATAATTCAGGAATGAATAACATGGAAACAGCTTTAAGTGCTCCTTCAAAAAGCCCCAAGCCAGCAAATGCATGGTATGCTCTAATTTTTATTAAAATAAGCTTTGTACATTAGCTTTTAAGGTGGTTCTTGGCTTTGGTTTTTTTTTCCTCCTGTTTTTTCAAATATTTTGTCCCCCCTTAGCTTTTATGTTATGAATCAGACCTTGGGAAATGCTTTATTTTTTTGTTTGTTTTGACAAGTATATCATGATTTTCAAATTTTTTCATATGTGTAGATAAAATTTCTTCTTGGTATTTTAATTAATGTTTATTGCTAAAGTAGTTTGAGAGCATTATTTTTTCATTTTTTTTATAAAAAATATATCATGGAGAAGTTTGATAAAAGTAAATCTCTTTTAGCACCCTAATTTCTTTGCACATTCCCTGTATGTATCATGAATATCTCTGTTATCATAGCTTGTCATTGTCACTTTTAAGCAGGACTATTTACTTAACAATATGTTATATAGTTTTCTCCATTAGAATTTAACCATAAATGCAGCATTAGCAGGAATCATTTCCAAAGAGTTCACATGGCAATTTTGAGATAAGTTAAGTAGATTGTACTTCCTGCTTCCCTTCCATCCTCCTTTTTTGGTAACTAATGTCATAATAGACTTTGTAAAAAATTTTTATTTATTTTTGGCTGCACTGGGTCCTCATTGGTCTGCATGGGCTTTCTCTGGTTGTGGCATGTGGGCTCAGTAGTTGTGGCGTGCAGACTCTAGGGTGTGCAGGCTTCAGTAGTTGTGGCACTTAGGCCCAGATGCTCTGTGGCATGTGGAATCTTCCTGGACCAGGGATTGAATCTGTGTCCCCTGCATTGGTAGGCGGATCCTCAGCTTCCATACCACCAGGCAATCCACTAATAGAATATGTGGAAACCAATTTTAGAGGAAAAATACATGGATATGTGAAGGGCAGGAAAAAACCCTGTTGCTGTCATAAGCATAGAAGAGGGTACTGGAGATTACCCTTGATTGCGGGAGGGGTGGGGGGGCATGGGGAGATCCTTTCATTGCTTCTAATGCCACTTTTTTTCTATTTGTAGAAGGAATATTTTTTCCCAATTAAAATGCAAATTATTATTATTTTTTTTCATTTATTTTTATTAGTTGGAGGCTAATTGCAAATTATTTTAAGGAGAGTATCAACTCATTTTATTTTGATTGCTATCAGGAAGACTAAATGTCAGAACCACTAGTAAATCTAAAACTTGATCACAGAAAAAAAAAAAGATGAGAAAACCCAATTTAAAAAGAAAAGAGTAAAACTTGAGGGAATGGGTTTAATAGAATGTTTCAATTCATTGGTATTTGTTGTGTAGCTTCTACATGCAAGGCATGTTCTAGTTTCTGATAAGGCAATATACAAAAGTAATTTGATCACTGCCTCTGTTAGGTTTATGGAGTAGCTGTTAAAATAGAGTTAATGTTTTTCCTAAACAAAAGCATGGAAAAGACCAAAAAAAAAATTATAAATCTTCTTAAATTAGTTCTCAAGATACTAAATATATTGCAATTTGAGCCAGTTAACTAAGCACATGAGGAAGCTTTCTGCTGTCACGTCAGTTGTGTCCGACTCTGCGACCCCATGGACCGAAGCCCACCAGGCTCCTCTGTCCATGGGATTCTCCAGGCAAGAATACTGGAGTGGGTTGCCATTCCCTTTCCAGGGGATCTTCCCGACCCAGGGATCAAACCTGTGTCTCCTGTGTTTCCTGCGTTGGCAGACAGGCTCTTTACCACTAGCGCCACCTGGGAAACCTGAGGAAGGGTTGGGCTTAGGAGATACAATTTCAGCCATGCCGTCCACCAGTTTCCTTATGTAAAAACAAAAAGTAAACGAGCAAAAGAAGGGGCAAAACAGTGATCACTCAAGTTGGGAAATCCAGCTAATAGACTTAACCCAACTCTTGGTTTCAAATCTGTTTCAAACACTGGAGTTCATTCCAACCCCAATAAAAAAATTCTCTTTTGACTGGCTCAGATTCACAACAGAACCATCGTATGATTCTGGTTCCTTTTTTATGCCTTTATTTTTCCCGGGAATAACTAATTCCCTTATTGGGAAACATCCCAGCTAACTTATGACTTTTGTTTTTTATTGGAACCATTTTCATTTAGAACTCTGAGTTCTCTAGTCTGAACTAGGCCTTTTTCAGGCACGCTTAATACTGTGATCTTGAGGTTTCTCCTAATTGTCATCCTGGGGATTTCCTTTGCTTCCCTCCAGTGTTCGATCCCCAGTTTCCTACAGGCTGTGTTTTTTGCTTTCTTGGTTTATTCTTTGATTTGAGGTAGCATACTCCACATCAGAACCAGTAGTTTTCTGATGAAGAATGTATAGGATGTACATTTTTGGAGCTCTTATAACTTTGAAAATGTTTTTATTCACGCCACCCTTGACTGACAGATGGGAACAGAATTCTGAGTTGGAAATCATTTGTAGAGTTCCTTTTTCTTATTTCTATTGGGAAGTCTAATGCCATTCCAATTCCTAACTCTTCATATGTTACCAGTTTCTTTTCCTCCTCCCCCCTTTTTATCTCTAGTATTCCTAAATTTCATAGTGAAGTGCCTTGATGTGGGTTCTTTTTTGATACGTTGTACTGGCTACTTGGTGGGCTCTCTTATTAATTGTGAAAAGCATGTCTAGGAACATCCAAGTCTAGGAACAACTTGTATACTATTTGATACTTTCTTCCTTACTAAAATCATATTAGAAAAAAAGGAATAGATTTGTTTTTCTGAGGCTATCTCTTGTAAATGTTGGTCTAAATAAAGTTGGTAGAATTTAAAGTTTGCTCAGCTTTGAAAAAAGTAGAAAATTAATATGAAATTAGCATTTTAATTTGATTTGATTTACAGATTGTATATATGGAATATATTCATTGCTATAGTGATTTTTTCAATTACTTCTCAAAGGAACATGTTCATCTCCTGATAAATCATCTAATGTGATTTTTCTTAATTATTAAAGGATGTTTTTATTCTGTTTTTATCTTAATAATGGGCTTCCCTGGTGATTCAGCAGTAAAGAATCCACCTCGAGTATAGGAGGTGTGGTTTTGACCCCTGGGTTGGGAAAATCCCCTGGAGAAGGAAATTGCAACCCACTCCAGTATTCTTGCCTGGGAAATCCCAAGAACAGAGGAGCTTGGTGGGCTACATACAGTCCATGGGGTTGTAAAAGAGTCAGACACAACTTAGCAACTAAACATCAACTTCTTAATAATAAGGTTAATGTGCAGTTCTTTAGCAAATCACAAATTAGCCCTTTAAGTCTACTTCTGGTTGTGATAGGGAATTTACTTAGTTTGTTCACCCATTCCTTCCCTTAGTCTATATGATGACTTCTAGTATGTAACAGTACTCCTGCTGCATGCAGTTAGGTGTGACAGTGTTAAATATGAAAAATAACTGGTTTTTGCATTACAATGAAATTCTAACCAGTTGACTTTTAAATCTGTTGTGAAAATACCAAGTGTATATGGGAGTTGATCAGTTTTCATTATCCTTTATTTTACTTGGAGAAATAAAACTGCATTTCTCACCAGCCATCTTGAGTGGAAGAATGCACGATCTTTGTGGCCTGGCTGTATGAATGTAACTTCTTCCAAATTCCATTTTGAGCTAACCTATAAACTAAGTTCAGTTCTTTAATTTTTTAGCTAGAAATTTTACTCATTAAAGCACAATTTTTAGAGCTTCCTTAGTTGAGAAAAAAAATGTTGATTAATTTTTTATGTGGCTACAAATGTCTACAAATGCTTCTTAAGTTTCTCTGGCTGCTAAAATGGAAAAGAGCCAGAGCCTTTGAGTTAGGAAAGTAAAATTGTGGGAAATCAGACATCAGACACTATTTCAAATTATGGCATGATCAGTGGAAAGAATAATAGAATTCATTTAAAGAAGTCTATATAAGACAATTTATAAGTAGCCACTATGCATGATTAATATGTGAATATAAGATAGCTTGTAAGTAAGCATTGTTACTTATATTGATTCTTAAGGATATGTTATCATAAATAGCTATGAAAGAAATAATTTTTTTTAGGGTGTACACTGTTTACCACGTCTAGAAGTTTGCAGATTACCAGAGTTTGGTAATTTGACATCTTGTGGTTTTTATACAGATGATTGTGAAGTTTCTGTATTTAGAGACATGAATTACTTACAAAAGACATTCATCAGATTTTTTTGGCAGAGTATTTGCCTGCAGTGTTCCTAGTGACTAATAATACAAAGTACTTTATAGCACAGTTGTGTTGTTGCCGGTAGAAACTTTCAGGTATGTGTATTTTGGGGAGGAGAAGGGAGTTGGTAAGGAAATGGGGCATGGTTCTTTGTGTTTAATTTTTTAATGTTCTGCACATGTATGTGCTTTGGGGAAAATTTTGTGATAAAGTCAGTCAGGTAGGTTCCTTTTGAAGAAATATCTTTAACATAAATGCCTTGGTAGGTCATATTTCTGATAAATCTGTAAAGAAAATTTATCTCATTCGATTTAAGAATTTTACATAGGGTGAATGATTTTCTGTGAACATAGTAGTATAGTGATTAAGCCTGGTAATCAGGAGTCAGCCTTGCCTGAACTTTAAAATGTGGATCTATTGCCTAGTAGCAGTGTGAATTCAGATTAAGTCTTTAATTTGACTTTCCAGTCTTACTCTTGTCAGATCAGTTATTTAATTTTTCTCTGTTTTCTTGTTCATAAATAGGCTAAAAACAGGACCTATTTCACAGGGGTATTGTGAAGAGTAAACAGTTAATGAAACACATTTAGAACAGCACCTTAAGCATTGTGTAATATTAACCATTAGTATATAAATAAAATATAACTTTATTTGTAATATGTTCACATGATTGATTTCTTTAGCATGTATTGAGTTATTTTGGTGAGTTTTTTCCTAAGAAAAACCTTATGTGAAGCAGTTGTATTTAATTATTGAGCAGATAGAAATTTGGTAGAAGCTTTCAGCTGATTTTGTTATGAATAGATGCCTATTAGCTCATATACTAACAAAACTAAGTGTGAATCATCATTTTCCTTCCATCTGTGTCATCTTTGGCACTTTATAAGGAGTATTATTTTGATTCTTATTGAAGCCAGTGATAGACTAGATGGCCAAGCATGAGTTTTGTGATCATTAATAACTGGGTTTGGATCCCAGTTCTGCTTATCTCTGGTGATCTGAGGGTCATTCAAAGGCCTCAGCTTTGGTTGTGCTCTTTTAAATTTAGGTTGTGGTGAAAATACTTTAAGGATTATTGTTGTAAAGATTAAATGAGATGATGCATATAAAAGTGTCTTGGTGGGTAGGTCAATCAGATATATATTAGTTATTCAGACAAGAACCTTTCATGCAAAGATGGGCATAATAAAGGACAGATATGGTATGGACCTAAGAGAAGCAGAAGATTTAAGAAGAGGTGCCAAGAATACACAGAAGAACTATAAAAAAGATATTCATGACACAGATAACCACAATGGTGGGATCACTCACCTAGAGCCAGACATCCTTGAATGTGAAGTCAGGTGGGCCTTAGAAAGCATCACTACGAACAAAGCTAGTGGAGATGATGGAATTCCAGTTGAGCTATTTCAAATCCTGAAAGATGATGCTGTTAAAGTGCTGCACTCAATAAGTCAGCAAATTTGGAAAACTCAGCAGTGGCCACAGGACTGGAAACGGTCAGTTTTCATTCCAATCCCAAAGAAAGGCAATGCCAAAGAATGCTCAAACTACCACACAATTGGATTCATCTCACACGTTAGTAAAGTGATGCTTATAATTCTCCAAGCCAGGCTTCAACAGTACATGAACCATGAACTTCCAGATGTTCAAGCTGGCTTTAGAAAAGGCAGAGGAACCAGAGATCAAATTGCCAACATCCGTTGGATCATCGAAAAAGCGAGAGTTCCAGAAAAACATCTACTTCTGCTTTATTGACTATGCCAAAGCCTTTGTGTAGATCACAACAAACTGTGGAAAATTCTGAAAGAGATGGGACTACCAGACCACCTTACCCACCTCCTGAGAAGTCTGTATGCAGGTGAAGAAGCAACAGTTAGAACTGGACATGGAACAACAGACTGGTTCCAAATTGAGAAAGGAGTATGTAAAGGCTGTAAATTGTCATCCTGCTTATTTAACTTATATGCAGAGTACATCATGTGAAATGTCAGGCTGGATGAAGCACAAGCTGGAATCAAGATTGCCGGGAGAAATATCAATAACCTCAGATATGCTGATGACACCACCCTTATGGCAGAAAGTGAAGAGGAACTGAAGAGCCTTTTGATGAAAGTGAGAGGAGAGTGAAAAAGCTGGCTTAAACTCAACATTCAAAAAACTAAGATCATGGCATACAGTCCTGTCACTTCATGGCAAATAGGTGGGGAAACAATGGAAAAAGAGACTTTATTTTCTTGGGCTCCAAAATCACTGCAGATGGTGACTATAGCCATGAAACTAAAAGATGCTTGCTCCTTGGAAGAAAAGCTATGACCAACCTAGACAGCACATTAAAAAGCAGAGACATTACTTTGCTGACTAAGATCTGTCCAGTCAGAGCTATTGTTTTCCCAGTAGTCATGTATGGATGTGAGAGTTGGGAGTTCATAAAGAAAGCTGAGTGCTGAAGAATGGATACTTTTGAACTGTGGTGTTGGAGAAGACTCTTGAGTCCCTTGGACTGCAGGGAGATCCAGCCAGTCCATCCTAAAGGAAATCAGTCTTGAATATTCATTGGAAGGACTGATGCTGAAGCTGAAACTCCAATACTTTGGCCACCTGATTCGAAGAACTGACTTATTTGAAAATACCCTGATGCTGGGAAGGATTGAAGGCAGGAGGAGAAGGGTACGACAGAGGATGAGATGGTTGGATGATATCATTGACTCGATGGACATGAGTTTGAGTAAGCTCCTGTGGTTGGTGATGGACAGGGAAGCCTGGCGTGCTACAGTCCATGGGGTTGCAAAGAGTCGGACATGACTGAGCAACTGAACTGAATTCCTGAGTTCAGATAAGATAATAGGATTTTATTTTTATTTTTTTAATTTTATTTTTTATTTACTTATTTTTTTTTAATTTTTTTTTATTATTTATTTATTTATTTATTTATTTTTTACATGTATTCCCCAAGGTAATAGGATTTTAGAAGGCTTTGCTAATCTTTTATGGGGAACCCCAAATAGTTTATGAGTTTACTCTGGTGTGAATTTTATGGTTTCTTCAAAGTATGAATTTAGTTTTGGGAGGAATTAACTGGTTAGCATTTGTATTCACTTTGTTTTCTGAGGAAATAAAATAGATGAAATTAATGTTTGACTAGGAAATTTTTTATATTATTCATAATATTGACTTATTAAGGATTTCTGAAAATGATGCTTAGGATTAATACCTAAAAAATTACATTTCTGGATTAGTTTTTCTAAGTCAGACTTTAGGAAGGAAAGATATTATGCCTGTTAATTGACTATATTTCTTCATATCAGAATTTGTGTTCTCATTGTCGTCTTTTTCTCTTTAAGCAAATTTTGTTAAATGCTGTGAAAATTGTGGATAGTACAGACTTACATAGCATTTCTGTGTATCAGGTACTGTTAATATTTTACCATAAGTTAACATTTGATCCATATAACAACCTCTATAAGGAAGGAGATGGTATTAGCATCTCCATGTCTTTAACTAAGGTTACAAACATTTTTTGTTTCGATGTAGATGTTTCCTTAGTTTAGCTTTTGTGATCAAGTGTCTCTTTGTATGTGGGTAAGGTACAGGGCAAGATTTTTATTTCCTCATGCAGATAACTAGTTGCTTCAGCAGAACTTATTGAAAAGGTTGTCTTTGCTCTATTTTGTTACTTAGCAGTTTTGGGTGGAACTCAGTTGACCGTGTATGTGTGGGTCTAATCCTGGAGCCCACTCAGTTTCATATGACTTACGTGCATGTGTTTATGCCCATATAGACTGACTTGTTGATGATATCTTTTATACATTTTAAAATCAGATAGTGCAGTTTCTCTGATTTTGTTCTTTTTATTCAGAATTATTTTTAATGTCAACCACATTTATATAAATCTTAGATTTGGCTTGTCCAAAAAAAAAAAGTTCTTTGTCAGATGTATGTTTTACAGATATTTTTTGTTTTCTTAGGGCTTCCTTCATAGCTCAGTCGGTTAATGATATCTTCTAATGAGCAGAAGTTTTTGATTTGCTTAAGTCTAATTTATCATTCCTTGATTTGATGGTTATTACTGGTTATGTCTGAAGAAACCTTTGCTTGCCACCAAGTTATGAAGATAATCTGTTTTCTTCTGGTACATTTAGCTTTTACATTAAGTCTGTAATTCAGTTTTCTTCCAGGACATTTAGCTTTTACATTAGGTCTATAATTCATTTTGAAATAATTTGGGGGGTATGGTGTGAAATAAAGGCCTTTTTATTTTTTTCTATAAAAAACACTTTTTCCCACTTGTTTTCTCTGGCAATTCCATTATTGAAAGTAAAGTGACTACCACATGAGGGTCTGTTACTGAGGTCTCTAATCTGTTCCATTGATATGTTAATACCACATATGTGATATGTCAATATCACATATTGATATGTCAATACCACAGTCTTGATTACAGTAACTTATTTTATCTCCTTCCAGTTTTATATTTCTTTTTTAAGACAGCATTAGCTAATCTAGGTTTTTCTATTCTCATACAAATTTTAGAATCAATTTGTTAGTTTCTACAGTAAAAATCTGGTGGGATTAATTCAGTTGTTTAGATACAGGTCTATACAGATTTTCTATTTTATTTTTTGTTATCTTTGATTAGGGTATGTCCATTTCTTATAAATTGTGAAATTTATTTGCATAGTTATTTTTAATATTTCTTTATTGTCCTTTGAAATTGTTATCTTGTATTATCTATTGCTTTGTAACCAATTACCTTAAACAGCAGCTTAAAACAACCAGTGTTTATGGCCATTTGGGTCAGGAATCCATTATGGCTTAGGTTGGTTAATGCTTTTTTTAATGTAATTAAGTGGGGGGACGCCCTTTCCCCACCACATTAAAGATGTTGTTTCTCTTTTGACTTTCATTCTAATAAATAAGCCAGGTGTTTTCATACTGTGTTGGATTTCTGTGGCTGTTTTTAAGATTTCTTTTTTGATCTCTAGTTTTTAGCAGTTTGCCCACTATGTGTCTAAGTATGTTCTTTTTCACATTTTTCTTCTTTGGGGTTGGCTAAAATTCTTGAGTTCTTTCACATTATGGATTTCACCAGATTTGGAGGTGGCCATTGTTTCTTTGGATATTTTTATCTGCCCTATCTCCTGTCCTCTGGGTCTCCAGTTACATTTAATATTACCTTAAGTCACCATGACTGACTTAAAATAATAAAACATTTTTAATCAGAAGAAAAGATTGAAAAAATTTATCTTCCAGTTTAGACTTTTCCAATCTTGCTGTTACACCCCTCCAGTGAATTTTGTTGTTGAATATTAAAGTCTTTGAATTTCTGTTTTCTTCTTTTTCATAGTGTCTTTTTGATAGACACTTTCCTTCTGCTGAGCTTACTTATTTATTCTAACCATATTTTTTGTTGTTATCTGAGGCATAGTTATAATACTGTTTTTAAAAGCATTGCTAATTTCAGCATCTGGGCTATCACCCATGTTGATCTCCATTGATTGTTTTTTCTTATCACAGTTTTCATTAGTCTATAATTGACAGCAAAAATCCAACATTACACTGAAAACTGTAATTATCAGCAACAGCCTTTTAAGAAAAATGAATGTTTTTCATTATCTTTGTTGTCTTCTACAGGGTATCTTCTCAACATTCAATTTCATCCAAGTCATTCCGGGATTTCTTAGTAGAAGAAAAAAAATCTGTTACTGGCCAGAGCTCAGGAGATCATGTCAAAAAAGTTTGTTTTAAAGGAATTGAAAATTCCCAGTCTCCAAAAGTTTTAAGGTAAAATAAACATTTTCCTACCTTTAAATGTTCTTATAGTGGTTTTATGTTCTGAAATGATGTTTAAAAATTTATAAGGCAGATTTTTATACATTCTTTTTACATTCAAAATTAACATGTTTATTTTTAAGATATATTTTGATAATTGGCTTACAGTAAACTATATATATTTAAAGTATACAATTTGAAGTTTGGCATATGTATACCTTTGTGAAACCATCATCACCAGCTATTCAGGTTGGTGACTATTAACCACTGTTCTCAAAAGTCTCTTCATGCTCCTTTACAGTCCTTCCCCATCCTGTCTCCTTGCAGCTACTAACCTGATTCTGTCATTATGGATTAACTTTTATATTCTGTAGTTTTATTATATCAGTGGAATCATTCCGCACATGCTTTTTAAAAAATCTCTTTAACTTAGCATCCATTTTGAGATGCATCCAAGTTTTTTTGAGTCTGTTTAGGTATTTCCATCTTTTTCTCTAGCTGTTTTTGATACTAGTTGTCAAAGTCCAATGTATTTTAAAAACATGTTTCATATTATAAATGCCTACATGAAAACCTAAACATAGATTAAAAGTGGTATTTTTAAAAAGTTTCCGCACCATGGTATGTAAATTCTCTTTTAATTATCATTCAAAAGGGAACAAACATTCTTGGGGCATTAGGCCAATGTTGGAAGGAAAAACTGTTTCAAGTAGGTTGACTAAATGGAGTTTTCTTTTTTACCTTATTTCTGCTAATATGACATCTCCTATATATTATACTCCCTAGAATGTTTTAGACAAAATAAAAATGTAATTAAAAATGTTAGTTGTAGCCAGATTAATAATTTTTTCATAACGATTAAACAGTTTTTCATTGTCAGATTCCCCCTCAACTCCTTTTTAAAAATCAGATCTTTCGTCCAATTGTAACGTATCAAACAGGTAATATAAACTTCTCTGACTGGAGTGAAGAGAGGGGTCTAGGAAACATACTGCTTTACTGTCACCTTACCTGTCCTGTAAGCAGCTCCTGAGGAATGCCAAAGTCTTTCTAACGACCTGGAAAGTGCAGGTTTAGATGAACTGTTTAAACATAGCTTTGTTGTTTTTGTAATTGGCTTTCTTGTTACAGATATGTATATTTGTGACTGTAGTTTTTGAGCCTTTTACTTACAGTACAGAAAATCAGATTAGAAAGGATCTAAAGAAGTCGTGATCTGTATCTAACTTTTCAAATACTTTTGGCAATGTAATGTTATTTTAAAACAAAAATCTTAAATCGAACTCTTATGTGTAAAACAGATAAACCTTTTTATATAATGTTTATGTATGATTAAGGGAATATTAAAGCTATTGTGATAGGCTCATAAATACAAATTGGGTGCAATGTAAGATGTCTTAATATTAACATATATTAGCTGATGTGTATCAGACATAGTAGATAATAGAGTTACAGTGGTGAACAAAATTAACATAGACCCTGCTCATACAGAACTTAGTCCAAAAGAGAAGACCAACCTTATACAAAAGTGACAACACATTATGAAGAGGAAGTTTATCAGCCTCGATATTCAATTTATTTCTCATGTTTTAATTGTATAGTATTTATTTTCACTGTTGTTTGGTTCCTAAATCATGTCTGACTCTTGCAACCCCATGGACTGTATGTAGTCTGCCAGGCTCCCCTGTCCATGGGATTCTCTGGACAAGATATACTAGAGTGGATTGCCATGCCCTCCTCCAGAGGATCTTCCCGACCCAGGGATTGAATCCATGTCTCCTGCACTGGCAGGCGGATTCTTTCATCACTGAACCACCATGGAAGCCCATTTATTTCAATTAGGATCTTCTGAAGTCATTATGGGCTTCCCTGGTGGCTCACGGTAAAGAATCTGCCTGCTAATGCAGGAGACATAAGAGACGCGGGTTCGATTTATACCTGTGCTTGTATCTTAACCCAGGCCCACTAATGAAGGCTTAAATTATTAACTGTCTCTCTTTTTCTTATGGATGTTCAGTGTTTTCCTTTTAAGTAGATTCTTCCCATTTGGTTTTGAATATGCACAGGTATCTCACATGTGGAGTGGTGATGGGTGGGGAGGTGGCGAGGGAAGTCAATCCTTCACTCAGCCTCCTTACTTTCTTCTAGAATTGTCCTGTTGTTCCCCATTCCCTGCTTCCTTCACAGCCAGATTTCTCAAAAGAGCTGCCATTGCCCACTTACTTCTTCTTCTGGCTTCCAGCCCCACAACTAAACTGAAACAGTTCAGGCTAAATTGGGAAGTAGCTTCCATATTGCCAACACCATGGGCTTTTTATATGACTCGTCAGACTTGAAGTTCACTTATGAGTTATCTTCTCATTTCACTTGTGTCCTGTGTTGTTTCACGAGTTTCTCTGTTCAGTTATCAGCTATACATGAAAGGCTCAAAGTTAAATTGCCTGTTCACATCTGTCATCTGAGCTTCAGACTTAGGTCTCCATCTGCCTTCTTTGATATTGCCATCCTATTTGGATGTTCAGAAATACCTTAAACTTTTATGTCCCGAACCAAACTGAACATTTTCCTCATAGCCGTCTCATAAAAGCCAAAATACAGGCAAAACATAAACCCAGCCTATTCTTGATTTCCTGAGTAAATGTCATTCGCAAGTTTTACATGATCATCTTCCTCAGCAGTATCCAGTCTGTCAGCAGCACATGCCAGTTATAGCTCTTTAGTATTATATCCATTTTTGTATTAAACTATCTCCACTGCCACCACCCTCATTTAGACTACTGTAATCTTTTACCTGGGCCGTCTGAATAAGCCGCCTAACAAGTCTTGCCATATAGCCTTTTATCCTTCTCTATGCATATTTGGCTAGTGTTTGTGTATTTTTAAATGCAAATCTTACCTCGTAGGATAAAAGCTAGAATTCTTATATGGCCCTCAAGGCTGATACAGTCTAGCTCCTGTCAGCCTCTTTAGTTTTTAACATGATCTCTGTACTTTAGCCTTGATCTTGTAGTTTCTCAGATGCCAGTTACCTCTTCCCACTTGACTGCCTTTTGACTTGTTGACTCACCTCTTCCAGTCTGTTCAGTCAAAGCGTTGAAGAAGCCTGACTTCTCTCACTGGGCCAGTTTCCTGTTAATGCCCTCGTGGCTCTTCTCGCTTGTCACACTCACCACAGTCTGAGGAGTACCCCTTGTCTGCGGTTTCCCTTTACATGGTTTTGGTTACCTGCTGTGAGCTCTAGTGTGAAAATATTAAATGGAAAATTTCAGAAGCAAACAATTTTTTTAGTTTTAAATTCTGCACTGTTCTGAGCAGCGTGATGAAATCGCTCTCCATCCTGACCATTTGCCTGATCCGTTTTACCGTTTTACCGAGGACACGAATCACCCCTTTGTCCAGTGTGCCCTGCCCGTAAGTCACTCAGTAGCCTCCTCAGTTATCGGATCAGTTGTTGGGGCTTCACGATGCTTATGTTCAAGTCATCTTTATTTTACTTAATAACAGCCCCAAAGCACAAGAGTAGTGATGTTGACAATTCAGATATGCCAAAGAGAAGCCATTTAAATGAAAGCTTCAAGTGAAAAAAAAAAGTGGAAAGTTCTCAACCTAGTAAGGAGAAAAAAATAATTGTCCTTAGGGTGCTACGATTATGCTATAAATGAATCTTCTACCCATGAAATATTCATGCTAGTTTTGCTATCATACTTTAGAACATAGAAGTAAAAGGCATTATGTTTCTCTAAGATATTTTGAAAGAGCCAGAGAGCACGTTCACATAACTTTTATTACACTATATTGTTATATAATTGTTCTATTATTGTTGCAAGTTTCTTACTGTGCCTAATTCAGAAATTAAACTTTACCATAGGTATGTATGTATGTATGGGGAAAAAACATAGTGTGTATAAGGTTCAGTACCATCCGCAGTTTCAGGCATCCACTAGGGGACTAGGAATGCATTCCTGTAGATAACATGGGAACTATCGTAAACTTACTGTTGGTGTGATTCTTTGTTTACTGTTTTCGAATTGTTTAGTCGCTAAGTCGTGTCCGACTCTTTTGTGACCCCATGGATTGCAGCCCACCAGGCTCCTGTGTCCGTGGGATTTCCCAGGCAAGAATATTGGAGTGGGTTGCCATTTCCTCCTCCAGGGAATCTTCCTGACCCAGGGATTGAACTGTGTCTCTTATGTCTCCTGTATTGGCAGGTGGATTCTTTACCACTGAGCCACCAGGGAAGCCCAGTGTTTTCAAATACTAGTCTTTTAATGTCTGTGTTCAGCTGTATGTTCAGTGAGAGCAAGGAAGATTGACTTTTGCTTATCACTGATTAGAATGTTTCCTAGTGTGTAGTAGGTGTTCAGTGGTCATCTGGTGAATGGAGGGGAAGAATAAATGAAACAAAATTGTAGCTCTTATTTCAAGTATCATTTGTTTTTAATGTAATGAGCTATATTGTTTGCCCTGGATGTATAAATGTCAAGGTGTGAATGTTAAGATTGTTTTGTAACATTTTTACATTTTAAATATTGAATGTATTTTAAAAATTTTCTAATTTTCTTTGGATAGATACTGTTTATCTTTTAAAATATTAAGGATGTGTGGTTTCATAGTTGATCGCTAGGGTGTGCTATAACATCAGGCTATTAAATGTGAAAAGTAGTGTGTGATGTTACAGTGCTTTAGATATTTTAGTTAAAGGAGTGTATGATAGTATCTTGCTATCCATAGCTTGGGTGTTTGGCAAGTGGAAGTTAATGTTGTAAATAGTTTTTTGTCTTCTTGTCACTGAGAAAGAAAACAGCTTTGATTTCATTTTTAATTTCATCATAGAAAATATGTTACCATTAAGAGAGCTGTATTTAAGGAAATAATATATAACAGATAAAGTAGAATATTTATTAATTCACCAGATTATGGGACACTTGATATACGTATTCTGCTGGCCTCTCTTGGGTATATATATAAAAGTATAATACACAGACCCAGTCTGAAGTATGTTTGAAATCTGGTTGCTAAGTCTAAATATGCATACATGGAAGTTAACTGACAGAACAAAAATACAGTGTAATATAACAGTGTTAAAGAAGTCACACGGCAATATATGACTGTATGCTGTATGCGTGGTTCAGAGAAGGGAAAATGACCACGGGCTAGGGCTGTCCAGAAAAACTTCATTGAAGAGGAAAAGTTTGAGTATTAGTTCATAAACACTTTTCCTATTCAATGTCAAATAGTTTGATCATTATGTTTATGGCTATATATTTAAATGATTATTTATCTTAACATAACATAATGATCAAATGGCCATATATTTATGGGATTTTTAAAAGAAGAGAGGAGAAAGGGCAGTATAAAGAGAGGAAATAGTGGGAATTAGAGCAAGAAGACAGGAATACTTTAGGGACTCAGTGGCAGGGATGGAGGGCTCATTCCACAAATAATACATTCTTGTCTTAATTATAGAAAATGTGATCATCCCCCACCCCCAGGCTAGGGAGCTAATAAAAGAATGGCAAAGTTACTTACTGATGTAAAAAGAGAGGTTTATGTACTTTTTGTTTGTTTGTTACTTCTGTGTTCTTTTTCATTTTAATGTGTTTTCTTTCATTTTCCTTTCACTTAAATACCCCCTTAAAAGGGTGCTTCTAGGAAGAAAATGTGATCTTGCATTTCTGATTAGTAAGGAAAACTACATGTGAGATAAAATCATTATATCAGCTCTAATTTTATATAAAATCTTTGTAATTGCAATTATATAAAATTATTTTTAATAATTGTCAACCATAAAAAAAAATAATTGTCAACCATGTGAGCAAAAAGTAAGTGTTTCTCTTGAAGTCTAAATTTGGCAAGATTAATGTTCCTCAGTTTGAACAAAAATCTTTGAAAGATTTTTTGAAAGATTTTAGCCAGCCCTTTTATGTTGCTTTTATTTCCAGAAGGCTAAATTTTATAAGATTTTCTGTTGGGATGTCTGTTTCTATGCTGCAAATACCTGAGGCTTAATAATGCTGTTATTTATCATTGGAAAGCTTATACTCTTTTCGTATTTGTTTAGTCATAGCTCTATTTAGCAATTTTACTTCATTCTAAGATGAAATTTTGATAAAGATGTTTGAGTAAATTTATAATTAATAATGTTATCCACTGGGAAATCATTGATGAAAAAAATTCTAACATCTTACAAAACAGATTTGAGTTGGGTATAATTCTTATAGCAGTCCATTGTGAACCTTTCTGAAATGAGAGCAGTAATGCCTATCATATGGGTTTGTTACAAGGATTATATCAGGTAATTCATATGATAGTACTTTATAAATTATATAATATTAAGTAAGTTCTGATTGATTGGCTTTAACAAAACCTATACAAGATACTTTAGTCCTTATATTCAGTTCTGTTTGCAGAGAGAAAAGGTGATAGTTGAATCAGTCCTTAAAGAATTAGAAGATCCTTGTAATGGACTGTATTCTGTGCTACAGTGTATGGAAAATACTCTATATTTTGAGTGAAAAAAGCCTGGATTTGAGTTCTGTCTTTACCATTTACCCAGCTTGCTAATCAGGCAAATTATCGAATATTCTTTGAGTATTTTTAATAGTTTCCTAATCAATATAATAAGAGCAGTACATGCTTTCTTCAGAGTATTAGAAAGATTAACTGCGATAATGTATATGAAAATAGATTCAGTACATTTGTTTGCCCACACACATCAGGTTTAAACATTTTAGTTCTTAGTGCATTTGTACTCTGACCCTTTTTCGTTTTATTTCCCTCTTAATCTCTTAATCCAGTCATTCAGTTCATTGAAGAGAACAACCCACCTTTACTTAAGCCAACAGTCTTGAACTGTTCCATGTATTTGTACAGCCAACCCTCATCTCAGTGCCGCTCTCCGAGTCAGCTTTAATGTCATTTCCTCAGTGAAGCCAATAGTGTATATACCCTTCTCCATATTATGTAGTTTCTCCCTTGAATCCATAGTACTTTGTACATATTGATGTAAATATCAATTATCTACTCTCTCATTGCTTTATCATTACTTAAATACCTTAAAAAAATCTTCTACCAGAGTGAAGAGAACTGGGTTTTAACCTGATTATCAGTACCATAGTACTGACATATACCCAATAAACGTGCATAAATGAATCAGAAAGTCAGTATTTTAGGCCCCGTTTATTCATGTTCTGTTAAGTTTCTGTTGTAAAGCCCATCGAGACCTAAATTTTCTTATTGCTGAATGAGGGCAGTCGATTAATCTAAGTAATTTCTAGGTATCTTTCTAAGCATAAAACTCCACAGCTAGGGTGCTCTTATAGTTCCTTTGTTCATTTCTCTCCTTACAGGAACGCTTCTTACCTCCCTCATTCTATACCCTTTTTATCGTCTTTTTTGTGAGGCCTTCTCAGATGACCAAATCTATTTGTTTGTTTTAATCTTTACAGTCAGTAGACCTTTAAGTTTGTTTTTTTAAATTCTTTTCTGTTATGTCATTTTGTATCGTGGTTCCTCATCTAGTTTGTGAGTTCTTAGTGTGTTTTACATTTCTGTTCTCTCAGCCATATGTGAATCAGTGAAGTTAGAACACACGCTCTCCCCATACACAAAAATACACAAAATAAACTCAAAGTGACTTAAGACTTGAATGTAAGACATTATACCATAGAACTCCTAGAAGAGAACTTAAGCAAGACATTCTCTGACATAAACATACCAATGTTTTCTTAGATCAGCCTCCCAAAGCAGTAGAAATAAAAAAAAATAAACCTCATGCACAGCAAAGGAAACCATAAAGAAAATGAAAAGATCATCTATGAAATGGGAGAAAATATTTGCCAAGTATGCAACTGATGAGGGCTTAGTTTCCAAAATATATAAACAACTCATAAAACTCACCAAGATAAAAATGGGCAAACATACAGATGGCCAGTAGGCACACAAAAGGATGCTCAATACTGCTAATTATTAGACAAATACAAATAAAAAATATAATGAGGTGCCACCTCATACCAGCCAGAGTGGCTGTCATTAAAAGGTCTACAGATAACAAATGCTGGAGAGGATGTGGAATAAAGGGAGTCCTCCTATACTTTTGGTGGGAATGTAAGTTGGTGTGGCCAGTGTATTGAGGCTCCTCAGCAAACTGAAAGCAGAATTACCACAGCAGCCCCACTCCTGGGCATATATCTGAACAAAACTGTATTCAAAAAAGTACATGCCACCCCTGTGCTCCTAGCAGCACTGTTGACAATAGCCAAGACATGGAAGCAACCTAAATGTCTTATCTACAGGGGAAAGGATAAAGAAGATACGGTACATAGATACAACCGAATTCTACTCGGCCATAAAAAAGAAGGAAATAATGCTATTTGCGGCAACATGGATGGACTTAGAGATTATCATACTAAGTGAAGTAAAACAGACAGAGGAGAAATATCATATGATATCACTTATATGTGGAATCTAAAGTATGACAGAAACGAACCTATCCATGAAACAGAAACAGACCCTCAGACATAGAAAACAAACTTGTGGCTCCCAAGGAGAAGGGGGGTGGGGAAAGGATGGTGTGAGAGGTTGGGGTTAGCAGGTGTAAGCATTACATACAGAATGGATAAACAACAAGGGCCCACTGTATAACACAGAAAACTGTATTCGGTGTCCTATGAAAAACCATAATGGAAAACAGTGTTTCTAAAAAACTGAATATATAGATATGTATAACTGAATCAGTTTGCCGAACAGCAGTAAGCAGTAATTAACATTGTATGTCAGCTGTACCTGAATAAAACAAATTTCTGTCCTATCTATAATCTCTGGGGTATCAAAGCATTTTCTGTATTTTTCTTGCTCACAGTATTTATACTGTCTGTTAGAGTCCCTCACAGAATTTGGCTGCTGACCATTGTGTTTTTATATATTTTGAAACTTCGTGCTAATCTGTCACTTTTATTCATAAAATGTTATTAATGTAAAACAGTCTTCATAGAGTTGTCTTGTTTCCTAATGTGTTTTTTTTTAAATAATAAATTGGCTATATGAATGTTATTAGAAAGAAACAGACCTTTTTTGGAGAGTGTAGTTGATTTAGTGTTGTGTTAGTTCAAGTATACAGCAAAGTGAATCGATTGTACATACACCCACTCTTTTAGATTCTTTTCCCAGATAGATCATTACAAAGTATTGAGTAAAGCTCCTTGTGCTACATAGTAAGTCCTTCTCGGTTATCTCTTTTATATATAGTAGTGTAGATATCAATCCCAGTCTCCCAGTTTATCCTTTGCCTACCCCATTTCCCCCTGCTAACCATAAAGTTTGTTTTCTACATTTGTGACTCTGTTTCTGAAGAACAGACCCAATATTTTGTAAGATCTTCCCCCATGATATTTTATACACATAATTTTATAATTATCTAGAGATTTTTGTTGTTTTATTTACAATTTCAAAGGTAAGTCTGACTTCATAAATTAATTTATCTCGAGTCAGAGCCTTGCAATTCTTCTCTGTATTTCTATTAATAAGCAATTTTACTAATGTTACTAAAAGCTTTAATCTCCAGTTTTGGCATTTGTTTTGCAGATGTTCTACTCATGGTTCCCCAGGACGAGAAGGCAACCACATTTCAGATGTACCACTTCCAGACAGTCCTAAGTAAGGTTAATTGATCAGCTTTGGGACCTCAAAGCTAGACTTGGTTTGGCACTGGGAGAGAACACTAAGAGTTGAGAATGCTATCAATAGAAATGTATTATCTGAATACGCTGCTCTACAGTTTGAGTCCTCTTTCTGTTATATTGCTTTGCTCTGTTCCACTTTTTGGTGTTTCCAAACCTTACAGCCCTGATTCAAATAAAATATCAGTTCTCCCTGTTTCTCTTTCTCACCTCGTCATTCTGTTACATTTGAATGCAGAAGCTTCCAGGTCCCCTTATTTCTAGGTCACGAGGAGACAATGCAACACTGGTAAAGAGTATTTCAGGGGAGATATTATGTGCAAAAATTTGGCAAGATGACTGAAAGCTCATTATTCCTATTCTTTCAGTCCCTGGCTGTCTTCTTCATTGACCATTCCTTCCATGGTAGCACCAGTCACTTTCGCTTCTATCGTAGAAGAAGAGCTACAGCAGGAAGCAGCTCTTATCAGAAGCCGAGAGAAGCCCTTGGCTTTGATTCAGGTAAGTAACATGCCTGTTTGGGTTTAATTCAGGGTAAGAACTATATACTGTATTTCATTCTTAGGTCTTAAGAAAATTCTATTTGCTTTGCAGAGGTGCATGTGTATTTAGCACAGTAAAATGTAAATGTAGTGTGAAACAAAACTGAAGCATTCAGCAAGTATTAATTGAAGGTATTCAGGATAATAAAAATTAAACTGTGTAAAGCTAGTATTTTTAGCACTGGTGATGCTTTGGACTGTTTTAGTTTTTGAAAGTGACCAGTAGAGAGCTGGCCTTCCCTAGCTCTCCATCTGGCTTCTGTATCAGTCAGAGTTGATAGGTTGTAAGCCACAGACACCCAGCCAGGCTGACTTAAGGAGAGCAGAACTTATTTGAGAGACACCAAGATTCCATAGACTTAGCTGAAAACCAGAGAGCCAGGCTTAGGAAACAGACGAGACTCATCGTCCTAAAGAGCTCAAAGAGCTAGACAACTTGTGCAATGACAGGAAGTATCTCACAGGATGAGAGATTGCAATGAATGGATTCCATCTGCTATCTTCAGTTTCTTTTTCCTTCTGCTCAAGATTAAAATCAAAGAAAGGTGGGTATCTGATTACTGTAGCTCAGGCCTCAGTCCTTCTCCTTGCAGGATACCTATTGTGCTGTATTGCAGGCATAGAAAGTGGTAATTCAAAGAGTAAAGCAAGTTTTCTTCCCTTCCTCCTTTCAGATTGAGGAGCGTGCAATACAGGATTTGTTGGTTTTCTATGAAGCATTTGGCAACCCTGATGAGTTTGTCGTTGTTGAAAGGACACCACAGGGGCCACTGGCAGTACCTATGTGGAATAAGCATGGATGCTAGTTCACCATGGAGTTGAGATACAAGTTTCATAAATTGTGATTGTTATAAGTAAATGCTGTGGAAAGAGTTCATACAAATTTGGTAACTGATCATTCTGGATAGAATATGAAATGATATAATTTCTTTACTGAATTTTAAGTATATAATGTTTGTATGATTAAAAAGAAATTCTTCAGAATTGTGATTTTAGTAACCTTTTATGTAAAAATGTGTGAGAGGAAAAACTTATTAGCTTAAGTTTGAGTAGAACTATTTCTTCTGAATAGTCTTAAAAGGAAAACATGAGTGATTAAAGTGTAAAATGTAAGAGTGATGGATTAAAAATAACTTTCATTTGGGATAAATAATTTAGAAGAGTTTTACCAAATACTTTTTTTTTTTAAGTGTGACATTGATGAGCTTAAAGTAGGAGCATCAGCCATTACTTTTGATCTGTTAATGGTCAAAATTTTGTGTTTGCTATTAGTAGTTTTATGTCTCCATTCTTGTGTCTTTTTCCATCAGGCTTTGGGGTCTAGCCTGATTTTTAAAGCTTGAGCTGTTTGAGTGCCATATTATTTGTTTGAACAGCACTTTCTCCATTTTGCATTGATCTGTGGAGTATTGTGGAAAGGAAATAAAACTATTCTGAGCAGCTTAGTCTAAGATAAAATTAGGAGTCATTGTGGGGATTGTTTTTTGATAGGGAGAGGAGACCTTATAAAAAGCCTAATTGTGAAAGAATCAGTTCCTAAAGGTGTTAAAATTTTCTAAAGTAAATGCTTAATTATACATACAAGAATTGAATAGTGTGGGGGAAGTTTGGTTTATAGTTACCTTTGCAATGTTACATAATCAGATTTTCTGAGCCTGGATTATATGAACAGACAGAAACACTGTTTTCTTTACAGTATGCTGTTCGGGTTGTTTCTGAGTGGTTAAAATTTTAAAACAACAAATGTTAAATCTGCTCCGGCGCCTAGACAAATTGCGAAGGTTAATGTTTCTGGGAAATAATAAGCCTTGGGGAACCTACAGGCAAATCACTGCTGTAATGAGGTTGATGAAATATGGCTGAAATTAACAACACTTGAGCTTTTTAGCTCCTCCCAAAGCAGCAAACTTGTAAGCAAATGTGCAATAAAAAAATAATCTTGATCCATTTCACTGTTGATGTGTGTTTGATATCTTGTACTCTACTGACATCTATTATAGGAGGAATTACCAGTGATTATTCCTAATATCATGTATTGTAGCCACTACTTAAAAGGGCAATTTTCCTAAAATGCATCTGTGAAAAGTTTTATATTATGTACATTTGAGTAAATTGAGAAAAAACAACTTTTGTAATGTGTTGTTACTGATGTTGCTGTAAAGAGATTTTCTGAAGTAATTTTCCTGCATATGAACCTCTGACTCCTCCATGCATTGTGGCATCTTTAAAGATGCCATAAAGTGATGGTCTTCCTGATGTGCTCCTTGCTGCCTGGGGAGCACCCTGAGGGCCTTCAGTGGATGGGATGTGAAGGAGCGGCAGAGCCTGACCAAGTCTGTGGGGTTTTAGGTCTTTACCAACCTCACTGAGGGTAATAGAACTTTATGGCCTGTTTTATATAGTAGAGTATTATATAAAACTTCATTTGGAGGGAGTGGAAAGAGTTATTTTGCTATTGAAATGAAAGGTAAGCACTGCTGTAAACTGATTTGTAAATGCATGAAAGCAACCTGATATATTATGACCAAAAAGCCTAGGGAAGTAATGGTTTTTTCCCCCTAACATTATTCAGCCTACAATAATTAATTCATCTTTAATCTCATGAGTTGGAGAAAGTCTTAAAACTCTAGAAGTGGGCAATTTAAAGGATCAGTGGGATGAAGAGGTTTTTAAGATTGATGACAACACTTGCTGTAGAACTCCTTAGCCTGGAAAGGTGTTGACTGGATGGAGAATTGCTGGGGATAGAAGTGTCAGAGCAGTATATGCTTAAAATCTACAAGATCAAGTAGTCTATGAGCTAGATAAAGTCATATTTTTTGACAAAATACTAGGATTTAGGACTTACTGTAAAGAGGAACAACAACAGATATAGTCGATTGAGAAAGGTATTGCTACTTAATAGCTAATATCTGGGTTTGTTCTATAACTCTTCTGGAAGCTGGGGTATATTTTTTAGTTCATGAGAAGGGGGTTGATAACCGATTCATAAAATTTTAGATTTGAAGAAGCCTAATAGATCAATCCTGTATATCTTTTTATTGTATAAATTAAAACAGTGTTAAACTCCAGAGAAAATGAGTAATGAGAATTCTGTCTTTTCAGTCTGGTCCGCCTATAGCTATACCAGACTGCCTCTTTCTAATTGTCTATAGTAATTTAGCCAAGAGTAAGAAAATATTAAAATACACTTAATAAAAATAAATATAGTCTGGAAGCTCACAGAATTATTGATTTAAGAGCTATTTTCAGAAGAAGCTACCACAACCTTCCACCAAGGAACTGGGGACAAGTGATCCAAGATATATTCATGGTAATGTTTATGTGTATCTTTTGCTTGAAAATGACCATCACACTATATCTTAGACCCTACAAATACTTCATTTTCTTACATGTTGTTACTTGGTAAAGCTGAATTCTTGTCAGTTTTGCCTTTCCCAAACTTTCTGATCTTTTTTATTTCCTTCTCTCTTAATCTGTCATTCTCCTAAGTCATAAACTTTTGAATTCTTTGTCTCTTTCACCATTTCATTCTTATCAGTATTACTCTGTTGTATGCCCTTAAGTCTCTCTGAAAGTTCTGAAACTTTTTGGTGTCAGGATCCCTTTATAATGATTAAAATTTTTGAGGACCCCAAACAACTTTCACTTATATTGGTTACATATCTATCATATATAATGTATTGCAAGTTACAACAGACTGTAAGATTTTAATTCATTAAAAAATCATAAACCAATGCATGCTAACATAAATAACATTTCTAAAGAAAAAGTAACTGTTTTACAAAAAATTACATAAGTGAGCTTGTTTTATATTTTCATATATAAAAATATGTAACTCAGTATTTCAGGTTTAGGTCTTTACCACCTGGTTTAATAGAGGACCCCTAGACTCTCATATTTATTTCCACATTTAATCTGGTATGAAAACAAAAGTCATATAGTGTCTGAAAACTTGAAAAATTGAAATTGAAAAAGGCAAATAACATGAATAGTTTTGACCTTACCAACTCCTGAAAGGTTGAGAAAGTGGTCCAGTTAACTGCCAGAGTCCCTTAACTGCCACCCTATTCTCTTTCTCCTGGTCCAAGACATTCAGCTCTTTAACTTTGAAAAAATACCCCCAAAAGCATATTTTCCTGCTCTGAAAACTTAAGTTACTCCCTCTATACTTTGCTCACCTTGGGCTTCCAGTGATTTTTTTTTTTTTTAATCTTTATGTATATATAGTGGTAGAGCCAAACCTGACCTGGTGTTTCTCCCAGATAGGCTTAAAGTTTTTTCATGCATATTTCTACCTAAATTTTTTTTTCTTTGCCTATTGAAAGTCTACCCATCCATGATAAATGCAACCCCAGTTCTGTTTTTCTTATGAAGTTTTTGTTTTTTCCTTCTCATACCACCTCAAAAAATAGAGTAGCATACATGGATCAATTATGTTCCCATTTCCTCTGAACACTTTATACCTTTTTAGGGAATTTGTCAAATTCTGCCATTATTTTTGTTTTTCTGTTAGTCCTTATCTTTTACTGTTACTTATAGTTTGAAGGTATAGAACTAGGCACTCTTTTCTTTCTTGTATTTAAATCATTAAACTTGAACCATTACAGAGACATAAGTGCACAAGAGAAAAATATTTAGTTCAGTGATTTACCAGTAGGTCAAGAAATGGACCATTAACAGCCCCTTGGAAAAGAGGTGCTAGATTTGATTTGTGAGTATTTCACGAAGGATTTTTGTTTCTGTAATTCATGATATTGGTCTGTGGTTTTCTTTTGCCCTTTTTTCTACCTTTAGAATTAGTTTAGTGATGGCCTCATAGATTGTTTTAAGTAGTCCTTTTTTCCTATGTGTCCTAGAATTTGGATATGGATTTTGTGGAAAGGTTTTAAATTATTAATTCAGTTTCTTTCTCTTTACATGTTATACACCTCTTGAGATTTTCTGTATCTTGAGTCAGTTTCAATAATTTGTATGTTTAGGAATTTTTCTAATTCATCTAAATTGTTTAGTTTGTTGGCATAAAGTTGTTGATAGCATTTACTTCTAATCTTTTTAATTTATGTAAAGTTGGTGGTGAGGTCCCCCTTTCATTCTTGATTTTGGTAGTCTGTTTTTCTTTTTTTCCTTGATTGTATCAATTTTATTGTTTTGTTCAAAGAACCAACTTTGTGGTTCCTTTTGATCTTTCCCTGTTGTCCCTGCATCGTCCTTGCTTTCAACCCTGATCTTTATTAATTTCCCTTTTTCTGCTTTCTTTAGGTTTAATTTGCTGTTCGTTTGTTTAAGCTTAGATTATTGATTTAAAGTCTTTCTTCTTTCTAAAACATAGACATTTAAAGCTATAAATTTGCCAGTAAGCACTGCTCTAGCTGCATTCTGTAATTTTTTATATGTTGTGTTTTCATTTTCATTCAGTTCAAAATATTTTCTGATTTCTTCTTGATTTCATTTTTGGGTGGGATGTTTCAAGAGAACAGCATTGAAACACGTATATTATCTAGGGTGAAACAGTTCACCAGCCCAGGTTGGGTGCATGAGACAAGTGCTCGGGCCTGGTGCACTGGGAAGACCCAGAGGGATTGGGTGGAGAGGGAGGTGGGAGGAGGGACCGGGATGGGGAATACATGTAAAAAAAATAAAAATAAAAAAATTTAAAAAAAAGATTTCATTTTTGAACCAAGGATTATTTAAAGTATATTGTTTAATTTCAAAATATTTGGGAATTTACCCCAATATCCTTTTATTGTTGATTTCTAACTTAATTTTGTTAAATTTGGATCTTGTATTGTTTCAGTCCTTTAAG